TACCTTCTATCAATATGTAATGACAGTGACTTTTCTAACAGTAACTTGTACATGTATGTACTATACGTGTCTATGTAATAGACACACAGTGGTTTTTTTGTTTGTTTTGTATGCGACAGGGTCTCCCTCTGTTGCAGACTGGAGTTCAGTGGCACAGTCACACCTCACGGTAACCTTGAACTACTGGGCTCAAGCAATCCTTCTCCCTCAGCTTTCCAAATACAAATCATAAAGCCTGGCTAATTATTCTTTTTAAATTTTTTGTAGGGATGAGAGTCACTGTGTTTCCCAGGCAGGTCTATAACTTGGCCCAGAAAGCCTCAAGCGATCCTCCGGCTTTGGCCTTCCCAAGTGCTCGAATTGCACTTATGGGCCACTGCACCTGGCCCACAGAGTATTTTTCATCATATTTTGATGATTTATTTTATAACTGTTATTAAATCTAAAGCACTCCCTATTATATAAAAGGCAGAATATTATTTCTTATGATTTTATCATGAACTATAGAGCCAGATAGATTTCTTCTGTTTAAGTCTAGCCTTATAATCACCTACCTTCACTACCCTCTTTGAAAAACCAATGAAAAGTTACATTTATTCAAAAGGCACTTGGGACAGTTGTTAAAAGCAAATTGATCTTATTTGCTGAGTATTCTCCTACTTGCTTAATTTATGAACTATAGTTAAAATTAAACTGGTCATACGAGTGGTTCCAACAGCAATTTTACACTGCTGCTGTCTCAAGTTCATGCTACATTTACACTCATAAATCAATCGTATTATATATGTCTGAGGACATTCCAAATGTAGCCGTAATAATATTTTAAGTACTTTTCCATCAAATGTGTATGCTTTAGTCACTATCTGTAAAGATCAATTTTTAAAAACTGTACAGCAGAATCTAGCCCTCTTTTTGCTTTTCAAATTCATGCTTAGAATTAGAAATCTTGTATTCACTTGGCCAATCATAATCCTATTATTTGAAAATTTATTTGGTCAGCTTCCTAGGTTCTACAAATTTATTATGGTGGCATTTGCCTTTCACCATAAAGTGCCAAATGTTTTCACATGAATAGAAATAAAGAAAGAAAGAATGAAAGTAAGATTCCAGACCTTGTCTAATGCTATTAAATTGGCTTACATTAATCTCTGTCAGTAAAATGCCCAAATAGATATATTTTTGAAGATTTACTGGAAGCAAGAGGCTATTTATTTCTTTAGGGACTCCATTAGTAGAGGTCTTTTCTCTAGTGCCCAGCTGCTCTTATTATCCAATATTTTCTGCAGGCTTGGGACTTGCCACAGAGGGTCACTGGAAGGATATAAGTATTGCCTCATATATAATAGCAATTGGGAATTTGGGGATTCCACTTCATAGACTGCAAAACTGAGTCCTACCTCATTAGCAATCTAGGTAAGGCAATGGTGCAGTTTTAAGATAGCAATGGAATGAAAAGCAACCATCTCTGAGCCCCAGCAGAGTACCAGCTCCATGAACTATCCTGCCACTGATGTGAACAAAACTGCGAGTGAACCAGAAAAGTCTGACCACTGGATACCAGAACTTTTCAAAGCTCAGATTTCATTTTAATAATAGTGAACAGATAATGGGGGTTTATTGAACACATTGTTACAGGTGTTTGATGTACAGTAGATCCTGTAACTTGACACCCAACCTCCCAAAGGAGGATTGATAGAAATATTATAGATATATTTTTACTTACAAAAGCAATTATGCAATTGTGCTGTTTCTGCACCTTGCCTTTTTTGATTTAACAACATATTACAGGTATCATTCCATAATCCTACAAAGGGATTTACCATATTTTTTTTGACTGGTTACCTATATCCCATTGTACGTGGGATTTATCTTTTATATATATATTGGATTTATCATAATTTATTTAACTAGTCCCCTACTGCTTTGCTAAGGCCAGTCATGCGATAGTGGTCACCCTTGACTCAAGTTTTTCATGCACTTGTAAAATTGTTCCATTAAAGCTATGTTGCTTAATTTTTTCACCAATGTAACTGATTTGTTTTTGTTCACTTCTTTGCCTTTGTATCTATTTTATTCCATGTCCACAATCAGTATAGTCAACTTAATGCCCTGATTACCTGGAGTTAAAGCTACTGATATTAGCATTACAAAGAACACATTTGTTTTTCCCCATGAAAATTAGTACTTTCTAAAGATAAAATAAATGATTAGCATTTTGTATTACTTTCATTTGAGCATCATGTACTCAATGTATCTCAAGTTAAGAAACTGTAAGAATTATTCTGAGGTTCTGTTGGGTTCCGCACAGCAGTCACACACTGCATAATGTTTTAGTCAGTGACAGACCTCATATATGAAGATGGTCCCATAAGATTATAATAGAGCTGACATCATAGTGACATCATAGCTTCATAGTGCAATTACCTGTTGCATGCTGATACTGGTGCGAACAAACTTACTGTTCTGCCAGTCATATGAGAATCATGTACAATTATGTATAGGACATAATACTTGGTATGTGATAATAAATGACTCTGGTACTGGCTTATGTATTTACTACACTGTACTTTTTATTGTTTACAGTGTATGTCTTCTGTTCATTGTAGAACAAAAGTTAGCTATATAACAGTCTCAGGCAGGTCCTTCAGAAGGTATTACAGAAGGCGGCATTGCTGTCACAGGAGATGGCAGGTCCATGCATGTTATCGGCCTTAAAGACCTTGTAGTGGGACAAGATGTGGAGGCAGAAGACAGTGATATTGATGATACCAACCATGTGTACGTCCAGGCTAGTGTGTGTACTTGTCTCAGTTTTTAACAAAAAATTTTGTTTTCTTTTGTTTTTGAGATAGAGTGCCACTTTATCACCCTGGGTAGAGTGCTGTGGCGTCATAGCTCACAGCAACCTCAAACTCTTGTGCTCAAGGAATCCTCTTGCCTCAGCCTCCTGAGTAGCTGGGACTACAGGTGTGCATCACCACTACTTCCAACTAGTTTTTTTTATTTTTAGTAGAGACGGGGTCTCACTCTTGCTCAGGCTGATCTCAAACTCAAGGGATCCACATCCTTGGCTACCTTGCCCAGCCAACAAAAGTTTTAAAAGAAAAAAAATTACAAAAAATGTTTTAAGAGTAGAAAAAAACTGATAGACTAAAGAATACCAAGAACAAAATATTTTTGGACAGCTGTACAATGTATTTGTGTTTTAAGCTAAGTATTAATAAAGAGTCAAAAAGTTAAAAAAATTATAAAGTAAAAAAAGTTACAGTAAATGAAGGTTGATTTACTATGGAAGCAAGAAAAAAAATGTTGTAAGTTTATTATAGTCTAAGCGTACAGCATTCATGAAGTCCACAGTAGTGCACATTAACACCCTAGGCCTTCACATTCACTCACCCCCACTCCCTGACGCATCCGGAGCACCTAACTCCCAGTCCTGGAATCTCCATTCATGACAGCTGCCTTATACAAATGCACCTTTTTTTTTTTTTTGAGACAGTCTCTCTTAGTTGCCCTATAGTTGAGTGCTATGGCATCATAGCTCACAGCAACCTCAAACACTTGAGCTCAAGTGACTCTCTTGCCCTCTTGCCTCAGCCTCCCAAGTAGCTGGGACTACAGGCGCCCCCTACAACGCCCGGGGGCTATTTTTAGAGACAGGGTCTTGCTCTGGCTCAGGCTGGTCTCAAACTCCTGAGCTCAGGCAACCCGCCCGCCTCGGCCTTCCAGAGTGCTGAGATTACAGGTATGAGCCACTGTGCCTGGCCCCTTTTTCCGTATCCCCTATGCTGTATCTTCACAGTGCCCTTTCCCCTACCATTGTATTCCATAATGTTTGTTTCCTGATTTTGATGACAGTATTGAGATTAAGTAGGGAAATGTCTGTCTTTATTTGTAGGGAATTCACACCAAGGACAATAGGTCTGCAGCTTACTCTTCAATGGCTCAGGAAAAAAAGCCAGTAATACAACAATGTCCTTATACTGTACTTCCAACTTTTCTCTGTCTCTGTGAGTTTTTTAAAAGCTAAAACCCTCAAGAGTTCAAAAACCTGAACAGTAATGGTAGTAACTATTGGCCAAAAAAGAGTCTTTTTTGAGGAGGAGAGTTATTCACCAACACTGTTCAGAATTGCTGGTGCCAGGTATTAATAGAAAGCAGAGATTCGGTTTTAACTTTCACATTCTTAGAAACGACGCCTTTCCTTTTTGCCAACTCATGGAGTGGACAGCACCTGCCACACTGCCCCAGGACACCCTGGTTGCACTGGCAGATCAGAGTCCTCCATTAAATAGTAGGACTCGGGACACTGGGCCCATGAAAGCCTTGGCTGGCAAGGCCGTGGGGACAGTGTGAGGCTGCTGGGCCGTACCTGCTCATTCTATTTTCAAGAAAATGCCAGTGTCTCCCGGCTTGTAGCACAGAGCAGAGAGCCCTGCTGGATCTTTGTGGAATGTTAATGATGTGTATGCACACTGCAAGTGTGTGTGTGTGTTTAATCAGCTTCATGCGGCCTAGACGTAGTAGATCGTCTAAGGCTTGGAAGGCCTGCAGTTCAGGAAGAGATCTTCAGAATGAAAACACCCAGCTCTTGCCCAGTGGAGGCACCAACATTAGGCAAGCAGGCTGAGCAGTAGGATGGATGGGAGTGGTGGTGGCCACTGTCATTGCCTCCTGCCCTGCTGGCAGCTCACCTGCGCAAATCAAACCCAGACTCAGTGACTGGGGTGGAATGCTTCTGCAGAAGGGACAGTGAGTAGGACAGCTGTAGGGTCCAGTATGCTTTCCTGGCTCTTTGTCCACACACCAGTTGAGGCTCTAGCTTCACCTCAACATCCAGAGCCTCTTGTAGGGATCCAATGCAGAGGAAAGGAAGGCACCTCACAAACTGGGCAGCCCTCCAGAAGTCAGAGATTCTTGCCCCGCTGGCTACTTCAGGCTCGATCTGAGCATGAGCGTTACATCCTTTCCAAGGCTCCTACCTTGTGCTTTCCACCCAGCCTTCCATACAGCAAAGTGTGAGAAGCTTCAGAAGGAGAAGGAGGAGCTGGAGAGGCGCTTCGAAGACGAGGTGAGGCGGCTGGGCTGGCAGCAGCAGGCCCAGCTCCAGGAGCTGGAGGAGCGGCTGCAGCTGCAATTCGAGGCGGAGGCGGCGCGCCTGCAAGAGGAGCACCACGGCCAGCTGCTGAGGATCCGGTGTCAGCACCAGGAGCAGGTCAGTCTGCGCCAGAGCCTGCGCTCCGCAGTTGGGCAACACAGGTGGCAGGTGGAGGGGACCCAGCGCCAGGCGTTAGCAAGAAATCCTGCTCGGTAGGTGAGCTTTTTACACAGCCACTCCCCCACCTCTATTCTTCCTTCTCTCTCTCCCTCCTCCAAACACCCTGGCCTCCCTCACTCTTCCTTGGGGCTTTTATACTTGCTGTCCCCTCTGCTGGGAACACCCTCTGTCTAGAAGCTACATGGCTCCCTCACTCTCTCCCCTCCAGACTCTTCTCCAGTGTCAACTTCTTAGCAAAGTCTTTATCTAAAATTACCACCTGTCCCCCTGCCACATGGACACTCTTCCTGCCCCCTCCCTGTCCCCTCCCTGTGTCAGCGTTTCCTCAGCGCTCATCAGGATGTAACAATTACACATTTTGCTTTTGTACCTCGTTTACCTCCCACCTCTTCCATGAGGGCAGAAATAACAACAAGCAAAGAGGTGCCTAGCACTAAGCTCTAAGCTCTTTCCATGCACAACTCATTTAATCCTCTCCATCCCCCTCATGAGGGAGATACCATCCTTATCCCCATTTGACAGGTGAGAAAACCAAGTTCCTGAGGTTAAATGACTTGCCAGAATTCACGGAGCTGGTCATGGAGAAGCGAGGGTTCAGCCGGGTCTGGCTCAACAGTCCGTAGTGTCAACCAGTAGAGTAGAATTGTCTGCTGGGCTTGCTGCTGGGTCTCTGGGACCTGGAACTGAACCTGCACTGAGCAGATACTTAATAAACATTTGCAGAATGAAAGAATGAATGATAGTTGTTAACCCTGGCCCAGAGGTCTTACTCAAGAGGAAAATGCGTCTTGGACCAAACAGAGCATAATTCCCAGGGAGTCTGTTAGTGGGAGAGCAGGAAGGAGCCAGACCTGCCCACCCCATGGCCAGCTCCCTGGTCCATTCCTTCCCTTAGCTCTGGTGACAGACAGGTGCATGGGACTCTGCTTCCATGAAAGCTGCTTTTTTTACCTTCCAAGTTCCCCAGCTCCGATGCCTTAAACTTCACCTTCTAATCGGTGTGTTATTTTATACAATGTGCTCATGATATGCCTGAGGTAAGATGGCATTTTTGAAGCGCTCTCCTTAAATCTCTGTTGACACCGAGGTTAGTGTTGAGTGGCTCTGCACCATCACAAACCTTTGGGCTGCCCTCCTTGGCTGCGTCCAAGTAGACACCCCAGATGGCAATAATCACCCACTGCCCCAGAGGCGTGTGAACTGCAGAGGGCGCAGGAGAAGCTTAAAAGTAATAGTGTATGCTACCATTGTAATAGAAAAACTCTCATTTTATCGCATTTTATCCTATATGGCGTCTCAGCATAGTCATCCTTCTTCCCTATTGTAGAAGCCTGTAAAAGCCAGACACACCTCCCTACTTGAGGTGGTTTAGACTTAGACACTGGGAAATAGAATAGGTTACAGCTAAAGTTACCTGTTGACACTAAGATTAGAAACTGAATCTCTGGCTTTGTGCCTCCCAAGCCCTCTGGTGTGACTCCTGTTAAGCAGACTTTGCACCTGCTGCTGTCTACAGTGTTGCGTAGTTCATGGAGCTGTTACACAGCTCAGCCTGCTGCAGACATCAGCTCATTCTGTGTCTCCAGGCTCTTCATTCCCAATTTTATGCAGAGACTATGTTCATACTCATATTTATTTTCCAAAGGTTTGGGTTGGTTGAGAAGATGTCAGAAGGTGAGGAAGAAGGACAGGAGATGATCCACAGACAGGAGGGTGTCAGTGGGCAGGAGCCCCTTGAACAGTGGTGCACATGTGGGAGTGTGTTCTGTTCCCCAGCAGAACATGGCCCTGGCTAGGATGCTTGCTCAGACCTCATCCATGCAGAAGCACATGCCAGGAGATGGGTTCTGAGCCCTCCTCTTGAAAGAGGACAGAGCAGCTTTTTAGAGATTTCAAACTGGAAGCCATGAAGGAAAGAGCCCCTGGTGTTCCCACGTGAGAATGAGTGACATAAATGAGCTACCTGGCTATATTTAACTTTGATATATAAAAGTTCTCAGTCTCATGAGGGCTCCAAACTCTGTTCTTCTCCATCCTCAATGATACCCAAAGTCATTTATTTAACTCATTTGCCTGTGCAGAGAATATTTATTGGATGCCCACTGATTTCAAGGCACTGTGATAGGATACCACAAGAGACATCAAGAGTTATAAAGTGGGCTTGCTTATTCCATCAGGGAAGCCTCGAGAGGAGTGCCCAAGGAACTATCACATGGGTAAGAAATACAGATGGTGTGTTTAGGAGCTGAGAGTTGACTTCTAGCTGTGAGGCTGAAGGAAGGGGTTAGGGCAGAAACAGCATGTGAGCGCTTTATGTGTGGGTGAAGTTTTCCTAGAGGAACCCACTGGCTGGGGGCCCTGTGATTCAAGCCAGTGAGTTGTTCAGTCCTGATTTTGCTGCTGCTGCTGCTGGGGGATGCTGGCTGTTTCTTTGGCCAGTAAGGGAGAAGAGGAAGTGCACCTGGGGCTAATATCCTCGTTTCCAGATAGAATAAATGTTTATCGGTTTGGTGGGAGAGGAGACTCCAGTGGAGGGCTGTGATGGAGATTTGGGTGGTGTACAGTTTGTGTGTGCACGCCGGCATTTGCACTCTCCAGGCCGCTTCCTCAGAATGATCAAATTTGGCAGTCCTAACCCCATGATCAGTAACATCTCTGCCCTCCTGGAACCTTAAAAATTAGGTTAACCGCTGTGCAGTCTCCTCACTACCCAGTGTCCCCAATGGCTGGCAGTGGGGAAGGGTTGCTGCTTTAATTCTAACAGATAAGAATTTCTAGGCTGCCAAATCACCCTTTACTCAAATTGGAACTCAGCAGCCAAGGCAGGCTGGCCCCTGGTTTTGCTGCAGTGCCTCTCTGATACAAAACCAGTCCCATCTCCTTGCTTAGCCATCCTCAGCCTCATGGGGCAAGGGCCAGCTCTCTGTACATGGTCTCTGCTCTGGCTACACCTGAAATGTCTTGGAGAGCTGGCAAACCTCTGTCCTTGTCCTCACCCTACATGAACTGAACCAGATTCACCGGGTGATGACTGGTACCAGGTCACCTTTGAACACTCCCAGGTTTCCATGTGTAGCCAGGGTGTCCTGGGAGGTGTGGGATCATGTTCTTTAGCCCTGTAAGCTCTACTTAGGGGTCCAGGGGTGGGGTTGGGGGCGGAGGGGTAACTTTGCATCTTGGCTTTCTTAAGTGAGTTTAAAAATATGGTATAACTCTCATTTTAAAAGTCTGATTATAAAGGTGTTTAGTGAAAATCAGCTCTCATTTTGTAGCAAGGCACACACGAAAAGAAACCAAATTCCCACGCTTGCCTTTCACAAAGTATGCAAGAGAGACTCACTGTAAACACACAAGCATCTTCCTTTCTGCCCTGAACACAGTTCCTCTCAGCCCAACTTCCCATTTTCTTTTCTGGGCTGCCTTTGGCCGCTACCTGAGCCTATGGGCAGCTACAGAGCCTGGTATTCAAGGATCAGACTTGTGACCTTTGACCCATTCTTCCAAGACCTTTTGACAGGTTCTCTTACTCTGAGATTTGCCCCAGTGACACTCGCTTCAGGGGCTGCCTGTCCCCAGTGCATTATGGATTCTGCTTGATAAATTTTAAGAAGCGATTTCTCCTATATAAGGAGCAGTAGAGCTCATCCTTTGGGGTTTAAATTTGCTTTGTCTCATGTCCAGGACATATTTTCTACCTTTCCAAAAGAAATCATCCTTTTAGAGTAAATGACTAGAAGAGCTTCTCATGATTTATCCTCATGTGCAGAAGCCACTTTGTCCATCATCTTGCATTATGCCTCTGCTGTCCTCTGCACAGCGTGCTCTCGGCTGCCATACAGCAGAAGCTGTGCTCTCCCTAATCAAATAGAATGAGATCCTGGGAGCTCTCAGTCTCCCAGCAGCAGAACTCCTCCCCCGCCAATCATATCCTTGTAGTTTCATATGTGGGGAGGAGGGAATGCAGGGGAGATGGGATCCTGCCAACATGTGCCCACGTGGCGGGCTGCAGAGGGGCAGAAGGCACACACAGACCCCAGAAGAGGGTGGGGACAGACTGGCAGCTCTGCTTGGAGCTGGTGTCCAGGATGCTGGACCAGGGACCAAGCAAAGAAGGGTCACCTCATAATCTGAAAAGGAGAGAGTGAGCGTGAGCAGGCTCCCTCGGCCTCGTCCCCTGTGGATACGAGTCTGCGATGGGGGCAGATAAGAGTCTAATCTGCTTTGGGTTTAATGAATAAAGCCAAGGCACATAAAGCTCATATTTCTTCATTTGGAATTTAAGTCTTCTCTAAGTGAATTGCCGAAGCCCAAGATAATTACATTTTGCAAATGGCTAAATGAAATAAATCGCACAGCTCTGTTCTGACCCATCTGAGCATCTGAGAGGGTGGCCTTCCACCCTGTGCTCTGCTGTCACTCAGGTCAGTGGAGTAGCTGTGGGAATGGGGGGCCTATCACAGGGAACAGCTCCTTTTCTAGAAGCCTAGGACCACTGGACAGGCATACTGACAGACACCGCCATGGCCCAGCCCAGAACTCTTTGTGGAGGTGGGAGGAGGGTGGTCCCAAGATGGTTTAAGGGGACCCCACCCAGGGTTCTCTAAAAGGAAGAGAAGGATGTGTCAGCAGGAGTTAAGTTTGCCCCAGGCTGACAATGGTGTAGCGCCTTTGCTTCTGATTTGGAAATCTACAACATGATCATGTGTTTCCTGTGGGTCAACTTGTCCAAATCCCTCAAATGCCTTCAGGTTTTAGGGTCTTCTCAGGCTGGAAATTCCTACTGGATGCTTCTTGAATGTGAACCTGTATTTTAAAAAGAAACCAGGGACCATGGGAGAAGAGGTCAAAGGGATGAATACCATGACAAGAAAGAGCAGGGCAACAGTAGGTAGCCTCTTCCTCACGTGCGAACATTCTCTAAAACCTATGAAGTTGCACGAAACCTAAATTGCTGAAGAGAAAAGAGTATTCTGTTTAGATTTTGGCTCATGGGCTCACTGATTCCTTCCCAAACATAGTGGGCAGTGCTCTAATTCCATATGGACTTTAGAGTCAGGAGATGAGTATTTCGTTCATAAAAGCACCTCTGAGAAGCTGTAATGGACACATCAGGCCCTTACATCATCCTTAATATGGTGGGTGTGGCACCACCACTAAATCAAAGACGTACTTTCCAGCAAACCAGAGGGCGTACAGTTAAGCCACAGAATTCACATCTATCTCCAGGGAAATGTGAGACTGCTCTGGAACTTAGTCCCTCCATCTGTCTCTCTTTTCTGAAACCACCCATGGTCATTTGTGTAACAACCCAATAAATTAGAGTCATAACAAGGGCCAATGAGCAATTTTTTGTTCCATTGAACTGTGCAATGTACCTACAACCTGTAGTTGTTTTTTGCAGACAGACTGCTGACATCTGTAATCTAACAGAAGGAAAAGATATTCTTCCCTCCCTTTAACCAGTGATATATAATATTTTCCCAACAGACTGAAAGGCTTTAGACAAAGATTTCATAAAAACTTCAAAAACAGGAATTGGACAATTCAGTGCTATTGTAACCAGCCTTTCTATTGAGTGGATTCGTAGCTCTGAGTCTCAATATTTTACTAAATATCATTCCATAGAGAATGGCTAGTAAATAAGAGTGAACCACTGTATACCACATCCGTTTCAAATTGTGGTTGGCTTTCCTAAGTAACACTGTGCTGTTGTTGGTTTTGCCAGTGGTATTTCTGTTTCAGTGGATGAAACTGTCATTTACCTTAGGAGAGAGAAGTCAGGGAAAATTTCTCATGAAATGATAGTATCCGAAATGGGAATCTACTCCTTTTTTAAATAAAAATACCCCATGTGTGGACTTCAGGAGCAGGCTTCCTTTCTTGTTGAGGGCCTTTTTTCTTTCAGGTCAAAGATCAGCCTGTGAGTTACTCTAGAGGAATGAGGGCTCCTTGTAGGAGGCTATTACCAGCTAGAAGCAATGTCTTCTTAAATGGGCCACCAAGAATCTTCAGAACCTGGGCATATTTTCTGATTCAGTGTTTTTCAAGTGCCAACATTTGACACATTAGTAGGTTATGAAATAAATTTAGTGGCCAATCACTAGCATTTCGGAAAACCAAGTAAAATGCAATAAAAATCTTTAAACCAGATTATTGTAAATGGAAAGGATAAGTTTTGCTTTGTGAGACTTTGGTTTTAGGGCACAAGTGTGGGGGAGCTATGTACTATGTAATGGTGCACAGTGTAATTTTTACAATGGGTCACTGACAAAGAATTTTTTATTTATTTTTTTTGAGACAGAGTGTCACCATGTCACCCTTCATAGAGTACTATGGTGTCACAGCTCACAGCAACCTCAAACTCTTGGGCTTGAGCAGTTCTCTTGCCTCAGCCTCCTGTGTAGCTGGGACTACAGGCACCTGCCACAACACCCAGCTATGTTTGGGTTGGAGTTGTCATTATTGTTTAGCAGACCCGGGCTGGGTTCTAACCCGCCAGCCTCAGTGTATGTGGCTGGCAACCTACTCACTGAGCTAGGGGTGCCAAGCCACTGACGAAGAATTTGGATAAATGCTATAGTGATGTGTCCAGAGGTTTTATATAACTGCTTTATGCAGTTACTCCTGCAAGTCACACATTTGCAGTTAAAAGAGTAGCTGTGAGAAGAACTGTAACAGTGAATGTGATAGGCAGGTAGGTGAGGCGTAGGGGTAGGGGCCAGGAAGCACGAAATGCTAAATCCTGGACTGGCTGTGCCACTTGTAACCTGGTGGACAAGCCTATGTTTAGGGCACTAGCATAGATCTGCCAGCCTCAACTGGTATTAGGGAGAAAATTCTAAGGTGTTAATTGCTGGTTGCTCGGGGAGACAATAGCAGTGTTTGAAAGACCTTCACCTTTGCAGTCCAACAGAGCTGGGCCCCACCACTAACTCTGCATTTGCTAGCCCTTGGGCAATACATTACATTTCAAATCTCTCTCATCTTTACAGATGCTTTCCTCATCTGTAAAATGGGCCTCAAAATACCTACTTTATAAGGTGGCTCTAAAGATTAAGTGGCGTGAGCTGTAGCAGGTAACTTAATAAATGCTAGCTCTCTTCATTCCCTGTGTATTACAGCTCCCACCTGCCACTGGAAACAGAGAAAGAGCATCTTGGAGGGAGGAACCTTTTCTTCTCCTTCTCTGTCATATGTCAGAAGCAAGCGGTTCAGGAGAGGGGATGGGAATGGGAAAGTGATGGTCCTGAAGCCATGCTCAGGACTCTAAAGCTCAAGCAATGACCCATGGCTTGGAGCTGCCATCCTCCTGCAAAGAGCCAGCTTGTGGCAGTCACCTCCCTGTGACCTTGGGGAACTGCCACATCACCACCAAATTCTATCTCTCCGGCTTTGGTACATGGCTGAGGGAAGTTGTGGCCTCAGCAAAATGACTTATCTGGATGTTTGGGGCCACTGACCTTTGTGACCCATGGAACTGCACCTCTGTTGTGGTTGTGCAGGTGAGGATATTCCCCAGCTCGACGCATAACCGGTAACTATGACTCTCCCTCAGGTGGAAGATATCACAGCCAGCCATGAGGCTGCTCTCCTAGAGATGGAGAACAACCACACAGTCGCCATCGCCATCCTGCAGGATGACCAGGACCACAAAGTCCAAGGTAGCTCCCAGCCTCAGGTGTGGCAGGCAGGAGCGGAGCGTGCGAGCCGAGCCCTTCCCGCTGCAGAAGCGAGAAGCTCTCCCGCTCATCTCTCCTCTCCTGTCTTTCCTTCCTGGTGTGTTTTTGATAGTCCCTGGGTTGAGAATGAGATAGGTTCTGTGGCTTTGTTCTTAAGCTGAATTTGTATGGAAGTTGGAACAGGTACAATTACCTTATTACCTGTAATAGCCTCCATTCATAAGAGGGAGTTGTACAGAAGTTGGATGTTTGTAACTCAGGGACTGCTATATTGATTCCTGTGGAAAGAAGAGATAGAAATGAAGGATCCAGGTAACTACTTCTTTTCTCCAAAGCAATTATTCTCAGCCTTGCTGGCTGTTGGAATCCCCTGGTCCCCTGGGGAACTGTAGCAAAAGGCCAATGCCAACCTCTGTCCCACCCCAGGGATTCTGGGTCTCACCCCAGTGATACCGGGTCCCACCCCAGGGATCCGGAATTTGTTGTTCTGGGGTGAAGCCTGAGCATCAAGACTTTTTAAGACTCCAAAGGTGATTCTGATGTATACTCAAACTTGAGAAGCACCATTCTAAAAGTAGTAATCTTGGGATTTGTGTTTTGTTACCTTATAAAACTAAATGGAATCCCCAATGAGGGTACACTTTCCCCATATCTGTGGTGTTCTCGGGGCCACCCTAGCATCTGATCGGACCTGGATCTCTAGAGCTTGCACTCACAGACCACATTCACCAGAAATGTACCAGGTCTAACAGTTAGGTCCACAAACTCATCCTAGAAAAAGTGCTACCTACCTCCTTGGTGAATATCACTACAGTCACCTTTGAAGTACTCCCCTTGGGAAGATGTAGGCCAATGCCAGCACCTAGTCCACCCTTCAAAGCAATTTTGGAATTCTTTTCCTGGAATGACCATCAGAGCTGTCATCATACAACACACAAAAAACACTCAATTAAAATGAACGCCAAGGGCAGCGCCTGTGGCTCAAAAAAAAGAAAAAAATGAACGCCACTCAGCAAGACACCACCACATATGGACATAAACACAGCTGTGAGACACTGATACACCAAGGTCATGAAACCTTACCGAGCTGTTTGTACAGTGCTGCCAATGTAAACGCACATGGGAAGTTCTCAAACTCAATTGTCAAATCTTGTAGCATGACAGCTCTGATGGTTATTCCAGAAAAAGAGTTCCAAAATGGCTTTGAAGGACGGACTGGGAACTGGCGTCATTGCATAGCTTCCCGAGGGGAGAACCTTAAAGGTGACCGCAGTGCGTGATATTCAGTGACGAGCTGTGTAGCACTTTTTCTAGGATGAGTTTGCAAACTTAATTTTCAGACCTTGTATGTTGTGTCTCCAGATCTTTTTTTTTTTTTTTTTTACATTTTTGTAATTTTGAATTATCTTTGGATATTTAGAGTTTCGGATTCCCAGAGTCCTTGTGACCTGCCAGATCACCTTTGCTATCCTTCTGTCCAGGATTCCATTGTTCATCTTTCCAGGACGGAGTTTCAGAGCCTTCTAGAAAGATTTTACTTTGTTAAAGATGTAGCTTTTAATACTTTCACATGCGCTTACACTAATATTTGCAATTTATTTTTAATTTCCTACCTCCTTTACTATTTTTCCCTAGTCAGCTGGTTTTAAAGTACAGTAAAACCTTCATAAATTGACTACCAATGCACTGTAACAAACTGGTCATCACACAGAGGTGGTCACTATAAGGAAGTAGGCCTACTATAGTGATATGTGCACGTGGTACATGTCTGGTCTACGAGAATTAGGTCAACTTACGGTGGTGGTCAATGTAGGGAGGTGGTCAGCTATGGAGGTGCTAGTGTATATATTTTAAAAATGATATTTAACAATAGATTAATAGATTTTTTAAGTTTGAGAATTAACATCGGAGTTTTTATAATCAAAAAAATGTTCTCTGTAGTAATCGATAATCCTATCATTGTCTCCCTCCAGCACCAGGACCAATATTTTTAGGAACAATTAGTAAGGGAAAAACACCAAGCTGGGACAAGGAACACTGGTTTCCTGAGGATACATATTGCCTGTGTCCTGGTAGTGTGTTCCACACCCAGTGTCCAGGTCCCCACACTTGGCTGCACACTGAAACCACACAGAAAGTTTAAAAAGATAAACTGATGAGTGGATCCCACCCCAGAGGTTCCAATTTGATTGCTCTAAGTGCAGCCCAGGCATCAGAATGTTTTTAAAATTCCCAGGTGATTCAAATATGCAGCAAAATTTGAGAATTATTGTCTCAAGCATGGGACAGGGTGTCATGAACTTGAATAAAGCAATACATTACGAGGACACAGATATCAGCGATGGTTTATATCAGTGATTTTCAACTGGTATGCCACGAAAAATTTTAAAGATCATGAGTTAAATTATTTTTGAAAGAAGTTCAAAGCACAGTAACTATATTCTATTTTTTTCTCTTTTTCTTTTTTTTGATCAACATATTTTAAATGTGCCTCAGAAGTTTAGCTATAGGTTCAAGTGTTCCAGGACATTAAAAAAAGGTTGAAAAACACTGGTTTGTATCATCTTCTGAGTAGATGCTGTCTTTTCTTTTCCCCTGTTGTGTTGGGGTCCTCTGAGACACCCTGAAACCCACTCTGTAGGAAACTTGTCTTAGGAAAGGGAATATGAACGGAAATGGTGCTGTGAGCGTGGTGTTGTCTTTTCTCTTGCATTTTTACACAAATAGACCCGGTAGATTTTTCTGACTAATAACATCTCACGCACACACCACATCCAACGCCTTTGAATTAGAAATAACGTCAAGGTAATGTGAGTGTCTGTAATAGGAGCTCAAAAATTCATTGTTATGGTCAGGATGATGCTCACAATGACTATTAAAATGAAGCATTTAGACAAGAGACAGGTAGACCAGAAGGCCACATAGTTTTACATCAGTGAAATTAGCATGGACTTGTTTTTCCAAATGTAAATTTCAGCTATAACAACTGACCCTTACCACTGTTAAAAGACTTGGGTCAAGGAAAACCGTGAAGTTTTTCCTAATTGCAGCTCATACCCACCAGAATTGTAATTGTTAGTCTCCAGCACTATCCTGGTCTACACACAGGATCCAGGCTGATTAATGAGACATTTCCTCTTTCTGGTTATTGCATGAAAACAAATTGCTTATGTAGCCAGAATGAGACAGGCATCACCCAGCTAATAAGACTCTTCTCATCTGAAGGAAAATAGAATCCATTTGCTTAATAACTCTTCTATGACATCTCTTTCTACTCAACTTACAAATTAGTGCTGGGATGACACTTTTCACAGAACAGAATTGCTCCAACCCCTCCAAGAGAAACCAGTCCAATTAGTCCTTCTTACTATCTGAGTGTCTTAACACTGAATCTTTGCTCGAGCAAATCACAGGACGTCCGCGTAGACCAGTGTTTTTTCAACCTGTTTCATCTTGTGGCATACTTGAACCTATAGTTAAATTTCTGCAGCACTCTTAAATTAGGGCAATCAAAAAAAGCAAAATAAAGAATATACTCACTATGCTTTGGATTTGTTTTGAAAATAATTTAATTCATAATCTTTAAAAATGTTCATGGCACACCTGAGATCCTCCCACAGCACCTAGGTTGAAAGTCACTTGTATACGCACAGCACTGGTCCCATCTACCTGTCCATGCCCCAGCAAGCCCAGGCAGGTAACGTGACTGTTCACAGCTCCGGGCTTCTCAGAAAGCTCCCTTCCTGGGCCCCAGGTTGATGCTTCACAGTGGGAAAGAGGAGTGACCCTGGGAGGGGAAGAAAATGGGTATTTTACTTTAATTCCTCAGCCATTTTACCACTAGGAAAAGTTAGAGAATTGGTGCATAATATGAATGAAGGATCCAACTTGGACAGGATGGTGGAACAGCTGGCTGTGGCAGTGTCCGTGTATGGTGGTAAATGTGTGATGGGTGTGGGGTGGGCTGGGGGATGTTAATAGTGTAAGTTTCATTCGTGTGTACATGTTCAGATGTCGCCTGTTTGCGTCCCTCCCTCTTTTCTTTCCTCTTTCACTCCCTCTTTTCTCTCTTTCCCTTAGCCCCTTCTTGCTTTCTTTCTCCTAAATAACAACGTTTAGTCATCATGTATAATTTCAAAGTAGTGGAGAAGTCTCTGTACTCTTAAATTTGCTACATATAAGCATCATTTGGTCTTAGTCTGCCAAAAGTGTCTTGTTTTATCCTTTTCAAAAGGAAGATCAACTTAACAATTTCATGTCTTCTCTCCAGAATTGATGTCTACCCATGAACTTGAAAAGAAAGAATTGGAAGAAAATTTTGAAAAACTGCGGCTGTCATTACAGGTTAATATTTCCTTCATTTTCTTAACTGATATCAAGATAACGGCACCATTATTACCCATCCATCACCCACCAGCATTTACCCAGCACCTACTGTGTACTGGATCCTGTACTGAACATAGAGGTAGATCAGACACACTCCCTGCACGTAAGGAATTTGCTGTCTGCTCAGAGAGCTGTGCCACAAATAGTAACAGACAGCACAGAAGGTAACACAGACACATACCAGATGAATGATACTGCTGCTGATGCTACTCAAGTCCAGAGAGATTACTCACGGTGCTCAGAAACCTCCAAGGAGTAATCGAGCTGTTTTTGAAGTAAAAGAACTTGGGGGAGAGAGTTCTCTTGGCAGAGAAGTGTGCAAGGAGAGCTGTAAAGGTCAGAATTCATCAGAAGTGGTCTGGGAATTATCAAAGGGACTTCAGTGACCTGGAGGGAGGTGAGATGAAAAACACCCTCTCTGCTTCTCAATGCCACCTGGAAAAGATGTTGGTCTTAGAGGCCAGACAAGCCACCTGGCTTCCTGCTGGCCTCTATAGGGAGAATGCAGAATGTGGCAGGTCACATGAGTCTCTATCCTGCCATGCAGAGACCCAGGCCAACCGCTTCTGTGGAAAGACACTGACAACCTTGCCTGGCTAGCTAGGGTGAGGTCAGGGGCCCTGCTTCCATTTTCCACATCTAGCGATTCTAATCATAGGAGGCTTATTCTTTAAATATCAGGGGTACTCACATCTGAAAACTGGAGAAGGTGATTCCCATAGCTCTAATATACAGGCAGGAATGTTTGTCTTTGGTGGCTTTCTCCTGGCACTGTATGTGACACCAAGCTTGCCTCACCAATGAAAGAACCCAGGATTACAGCGGTATCACACTGTACAGCCTGATGTAAGCTCCCCACCACTTTCCCACTGATTCATTGGTGAGCTTGCAATATGCCCAGGCAGTCCTGTATGAGCCTGTGATATGCCCATGCGGTCCCGTGTGAGCCTGTGATATGCCCGTGCGGTCCCGTGTGAGCCCGTGATATGCCCATGCGGTCCCGTGTGAGCCCGTGATATGCCCAGGCAGTCCTGTATGAGCCTGTGATATGCCCATGCGGTCCTGTGTGAGCCTGTGATATGCCCGTGCGGTCCCGTGTGAGCCCGTGATATGCCCGTGCGGTCCCGTGTGAGCCCGTGATATGCCGGTACGGTCCCATGTGAGCCCATGATATGCCCATGCGGTCCCGTGTGAGCCCGTGATATGCCCGTGTAGTCCCGTGTGAGCCCGTGATATGCCTGTGCAGTCCTGTGTGAGCCCGTGATATGCTGGTGCAGTCCTGTGTGGCTTATTTTCAAGCTCCTTCCACATGCACACACATTCTGCACCAGTAGTTGTACTACCCTTAAAGGAACACAGATCAGCAAAGTGACAGCCACACTGAGATATAACAAAACCACAACCATCCAAAGCCAAAAGAAGTGAGTGTTTTGTTTCATCTGGGAGTCTTTACTCTGCCACCAACATCAAACAGTCATGAATTTTGCAAATTTCAATTGTAACTGTCCATCCAGTTGGGCTGGAGATTTTTTAGTGCCAGGAAGGTAGAGTTTCCCAGGCCAACCTCCTTGGGCTCCTGTTAGCTAGAAAAACAGGCTGGGTGGTTAGAGATTTGAATCTGTGTTTACATCGTGCTGTGCTTCCTCTTACTAGCTTTGAGATCTTGGACAGTTACATAACCTCTATATACCTTGGTTTACTCATCTCTAAAATGGGGACAATGACAGTACCTTTCTCAAGGTCTGAGCAAGTTAAGGGAGAGAATGTATGAAAAACTATATAGTGCTGGGGTGGCTTGTGGTAAGTGCCAGTAAGTAGCAGCTATTGAAACTCTTACGATAGTTGGGAGCATTGTCACATTTTTTCATTATTAGCATGCCATTGGCTGACTCCCAAGTGGCCTGCACTGGGTCAGGCCACCAGCAGGATCTTTATGCCTCTTAGCTTGACATAAAGGAGCCAATCAAGTTGTAAACCTGTCTGCCCTCTCTGCTTGCAGTGACACCATTCTGTCCCTGTGGATTTGTTTTGAATAATGGTGAATAAGGCAGAAAAATCACAGTTTGATATTTTAGATCCATCCTAGGTGGTGATTGCCTGATGAGTTTTATGTTGTTTTGTTTTTAATGGAGGGGAAGAGGTTTAAAAGAAATGCTTCCTCTGACAGGCAACCCTAGTGAGGTTTGGGGTAGGAGCCATGGAAGAGACAGTCATTTTCATAGTCACAGTCTAGCAGGTGACTAGATGGGCCATAATGTACATTGGGCCACCTCATATGCATACAAGCTCCTTCTGGCAACTATATCGTCCTAATGCACCAGCATTTGCATTTAATGGTGCTGTGGAGAATTTTATTTCTTAAAAATGAAATAGAAGTAACTGCAAGAAAGGGGAAAACAAAAAAAAAGAGGAAAAGGAACTTGCCCGGGGAGGTCTGCAAACCAGGGTTGTCTGCCATATGGATAAAAGCAGTTAAGCCTGGGCTACGTGCATTACAGTGTTGCTATGTAGAATTATAGAATTTACAACAGCTAGCTCCTACTGTTAGATAGGTGAGCCATTCCTCTTACCCAGAGAGTTCATGGGAGACCCTAGTCCCTACACTTTAGTATTACAGAAATGGAGAGCTTTGAACTGCTCAGCAAGAGTGAGGCAGGAGGAGACATGAAGGAAGCATCATGGAGTGAAGCTCTCTTCTTGGGTATCAAGAGATAGACATGCACGGCTGAGCATCCTTGGTTGGCCCAGGGTGATGAGGGTCATGGCTGGGGTTGGGTAGGGAGAGCTCAGCCTAGTTGCCTCTGCCCTGGTAGTTGGGGACGGGGCACGGTGCCTCCTTGGACATGACTTCATCCCTTCAACCTGTGGATACAGGGCTACAGAGGGGCTGGGAGTGTCAGTCCAGCCAGGGAGAGGGTCTAAACAGGGAAGATGGACTGGATGAACTTGGCTCATGCAACAAGGCCACCCAGAGATGTGCTGCCCGGCCTCATGCAACAAGGCTACCCAGAGATGTGCTGTCCAGCCATGAGGCCAGGAAAGCAGGGCATAGGCCTGAGTGGGTTGAGAATGAAAGGGAGCTGGTGCAGGAAGGCACTGCCCACAGGACAGCTACAATGTGGGGTGAGAAGGGGCAGCAGGACACTGGTTAAGGAGTGTGCCCTTTATTTTGGGGCCAATAGGGTGTGAGGTGGGAGAAGGACAAGTTCAGGCTTGCACATTATAGCAGCCCTGAGTGCAAGAAAAAAAGTGACCATGCCAGGAAAGAGCCAGAAGAGTGGCCTGAGTGCCAGGAGTCTGTGGAAAGCAGCAGAAGGGCAGGATTCCATCACTGACTTGGTAATGAGAGTGTCTAGTGGTGGGAGGGGTCCTGAGACAGAGAAGGAAGTCAAGGATGGTTTGAATGTTTCTAGTGTAAGCTTTATAAAAGAGAACTAGTCTTTGAAAGATTAATTTTGGTCCTTCCTAAAGTGAGGGGGGTTAGATGTCTCTAAGACAAAATAATCCTCTGCTGATTATCTGTGTCTGTAGGATCAGATATTAAATGTCCCCATTCACAAGCATAAAAATGCACCTGTCAATGTTTTTGTGGTCTATTCTGGAAAAGGCGCCAGAAGGAGAGAGGAGGGGACATTAGGGGGAATCTCCCTCTGTCATGGGGGCTCCCCCTTAACACCTTCCTTCTTCAGCCCGGAGGAAGACCCTCCAAAGGGCAACAGGGAGTGGCCTTTCAGTACAGTGGCCAGGGTGAGGTGTCTTCCATCTACAGTGGTCCCAGCTGGGCTTCTCCTGTCATTACCTGCAGGACCAGGTGGACACGCTGACCTTCCAGAGCCAGTCTTTGCGGGACAGAGCCTGGCGCTTCGAGGAGGCTTTGAGGAAAAATACTGAAGAGCAGCTGGAGGTAGTCTCTGATTTCCGGGCTTTCCAGTGCCCCCTGCCTGGCCAGGCATGTGGCTTCCCCAGCAGCCCTACCCAAGCCCAAGTTCCCCTATAGACCTGCTACTGAAGTGACAGCTGGTCATGACCTCCCCTGGGTTTTTAAACAATTCCTGTCAGTACCACTCCCCTGAGACAAAGAGCAGCTGTGGGTTGTTCCATCTAGATGTTATTTTTGCCAAATTCCACAGTGCTTCCCAACTGGGGTCCCGGGGCTCCTGAGGCAGAAGCACAGTCTGGAAACTTCCTGCCCTGACCAGCACCACCCCTCCATCTCCTTCTCCTCCTACTCCAGGTTAGGCTGGAACCACCATGCAATAGTAGGCTGAAGGGAAATTTTTTTGCAGAAAAGCTGGCAAAACTCCTTCCTTCTATTGTAAGGCTGCCAAATAAAATACAGGACACCCAGTTACATCTATAATTACAGATAAGCCCCAGCTACTTGTTGGAGGATGCACTGTACTATGATCACAGTGTGACCAGCCACTGCACTCCAGCCTGGGCAACAGAGAGATACCATCCCCTAAAAAGAAAAAAGAAATGGAGTCACAGATAAATGGGTTTTTAAGTGTATGCCCCATGTAATACTTACATTAATTTTTAAAAAATACTTGTTTATCTGAAAATCAAATTTAACAGGATGTCCTATATTTTTGTTCATTATATCCAGCAACCCCATTCTAACATGTCTTCCTCCAAAATGACTTTTCTACTTTTTGTTTAAGCACTTTGTTCACATCCTGTGCATGAAGGGTGCAGGGTTGGCCTCTCCAGGGACCCAGGTGGGACCTACAAGATCCCCAGGTGCTTGGTGAATCCAGTACTGGAGTGAATGTTAAAAGCCAGTGTGGGATTTACTCTTTCTACCATATGAGTTCCCTTCTGGAGTGGAGGGGCTGGCAGTGTCCAGGATCAGACTTCCCAGTGGACAACAGCCATGTCTCTCCTGCTCTCCCCCAGAGCTGGACTTTCAGGAGGGATCCCACTTTAGGTGGGAAATCAGCAGGGCTCCTTTATCAAAGAAGGCTATGAGCATCCTCTCTGTCCTGGGAGCTGCAGTGCCTGCTGGGAAGCTTGTTGCAGAGGTTAGGTTAGCTGCATTCACGACATTGGCTAATACTGGGTTTTGCCAGGAATGCTGGTTGACAGCTAGTTGACAGCTGGTTGCTCTATGACCCCCATAGGTTGCATTGGCTCCTTATCAGCACTTGGAAGAAGACATGAAGAGCCTGAAGCAGGTGTTAGAGATGAAGAATCAGCAGATACACCAGCAAGAAAAGAAGATTATTGAGTTGGAAAAGCTGGTGAGTCAGTCTGTTTGCTCAGGAGAGCCACTAACCTCTGCAAGCTTCCTGCTGTCATCACTGCCGTGGTCACTGACTATGTTCAGCCAGGTGTGCTCCTTCCCGGCCATTGCTTACACCTGGGCAGAAAATCCCATAGCTGAGCTCCAAGGCCTTCCTCAGTAAGCCATTGGTTTTGCTAAGGAATCTCGGAGGTGGCCACATCTTATCCAACTCTGGAGCCCTCCTGATTGGCTCCCTCTTCTTGGCTTCGCCCTGGGTTTCCTGGAGATGTGCTATTTCCTCACCCCTCTCTAGGCCATGTGCGGTGAGCCAGCAGGATGTGGCTGGTAATGTCAGGCACTGCGCAGAGCACTTTACCAGAGCCTGTCCCCTAGCTCCAACAGCACACCTGAACAGCAGCTACCTAAGAAGCCATTCCACAAGGTAAAGATGAGGCCCAGGGAAGAAGAAGGAGGAATCTCTCTGGAGCCCTTATAATAAGGGCACTAATCCCATTCATGAGAGCTGCACCCTCATAACCTAATCACCTCCTAAAAGCTCTACTTCCTAATACCATCACAGTGGGAGGGAGGTTTCAACTTAGGAATTTGGTGTGTGTGTGGTAGGGGGACATAAGCGTTTAGTTCATAATAGAATCCTTGTTCTCACAGACACTCTCCCACCTCAGCCCTCTAGCCTGGCTTGCAGTGCTAGCAAAGGGTGCCCCTTAGGAAAGCAGAGATTTCACCCCCCAACCCATGGCACAATGCCAGCCAGGGCCAGGGTTAGAGTCCCAGAAAGACGTTCAAAGAGAGTAGCAGAGAAACCTGCCTCCAAGGACAGCCTGTCTTGATGTAGAAGTTGGCCCATGGGTCTCTGATAGATTCTTATTTTTTCCCCTTTATTATTGTTATTTTTAAAAGCAACTTTTTATCTTATAAAAGGAAAAATAAGTATGCTATAGGAAATTATAAAATAAGATAAACAAAAATAATATAGAACATTATATTTCATTCACTGTTTATACTTTCCAGACACACATACACACTGCACAGACCTAGACCACATATTATCTTGCACAAGGGTTTTATATCCTACTGTCTTTCTCAGGAAATGATTATTTCATCTAATTTTTAAAGTTCTCCATTTGTCTCTGAAATGTCCCTTGCAGTTGGTATGTCCAAACCAGGGACTGACCTAGGACCACCCTTGCATTTTGTTGTCATGACCTCTATCTGGAACTATCCCTTTTTGCAGACATCTCTTCTTGCAGAACAGGTGCCCATCCTTAGCAGGGGCAGATTGATGATGGGACTGTTACTAGCATCCTGTGTGATGCAGGCTACTTGGCACCTTTCAGCAGCCCAGAACTTCCCAGCTCAGGCTAGGACTCGGACTGGTGGGGAGCTCACAGACAGAGCCTCACCCTGCCAAGCAGCCCAATCAGCATGGGGCAGCTTCCACTCTGACAGCAAGCAGGAGGCCCCCTCCTTCTGGCTGGGCCATCTGCGGTGGGTCACCCACAAGCCTCTGGGTTTACTTGGCTGTTTTTAGCCATGCTCCAGGCTTTCTGCAGGTACAGAGGACGGCTCATTCCAGAAACCTTATTCAGGCAAAAATGAAGCTATTTGACCACTTCCTATCTCTGGGGAGCAAAGCCAAGGGCTGAGTGAAGTCCTTGCTAAACATCAGGAACAGAGAGGCCCATCCTGTGGCCAGGATGCTTGAACCCCATTTGTGTACATGTGACAGTTTTCTTTAAAGATTAACTGCATTAACAGTGAATGTGCCACATTCTCTTCAAATATTATTTATTTCTACATTCATCTTAGAATGGAACTGTACTTCAGCTAGGTCTTAGGCCCTCAGGGACACACTGACAGAGAAAATGGCATAAATTGTGGGGAATCACATGGCATGATGGGGTTTCTTCTGCCAAGATGCCTGTAGCTTCATTGGAAAAACTGTGCTCACTTTATATTTCTGTCTCTCCATTAATTCAGAATGTCATACAATGCGTGCATAGCTGGCCAGGGACACTGCTGTAGCACACCTTATCCTTTGGGAAGAACCAAGAGGCCACTAATCAAATTAGGTCTTGGTAGAGTTGGTGGCTTATTTCTGACAGTGGCAAGGACCTGAGGACACTCGCTGTGAGAAATGCATTTTACCAGGAACCGAACATACACACACACAAATATACAATATATATAATAAAAATACACATCTAAAACATCTAATAATACATCTATATGCAGTACATACTGGCATTTTCTATTCTGTTTTATTTTGTTTTTAAAAATGCTGGTCATATCTCTCTAACTTGATTTTATAACCTACTAATGCATTGCAAACTATGGTTTGGAAAATGCTGTTTTTGAAAATCCTCCAAATCCCAAAGTCAAAGGTACGGGTGTGCTACCTACCCGATGGCCTTGTGGAGAGCTTCTTAAGTACCATATCCTTTGCAGGTGGAAAAGAACATTATCCTGGAAGAAAAGATCCAAGTTCTCCAACAGCAGAATGAAGACCTCAAAGCAAGGATTGACCAAAACACAGTTGTCACCAGGTGAGTACACTGGTTTGCGGGTAGAAGTCATGTGTCCTCTACAAAGTGGCTTTGCTCTTGAGCTGCTTTTTGTCCCAACCCTCAGTTTGCCTCACTCTGAGCTGTGAGTCTGCCCCACACAGTCTCTTGGCATTTCCCCTGTGACCACAAGAACAAGAATGCAGCCTGCAACCACCTAGCCTGTGACAGTTCTGATGGGACCCACCTCGGGAAAAATGAGGAAAATCAACAAAAGCATGCAGCTGGGGCTTCCCACAGCACTGAGGAATGATGGAGTTAATTTCTGAAAGAGACTAGGAGAGGAGGGGCAGTTGGGTATTTCCAGGCAATAGAAAGCCACCATGAGGAACACCCAAGGCTTCTAGAAATCTCCTCTTTCCATCTCGGTCCTGCTCGTCCCTGCAGGACCCAGCTCTGGGGTGCCCTGACTTCCCTTCTCCAGTTTGGCTTCATCAGCTGGGGGGGGTCTCTCTGCCATGAGGGCTGAGCCATCCTGCTGAGACCCAGGCTGAACCCTTGCCCACCCTGGTGCACCCATGGTGTGTCACCCTGTGCACACACACTCAGGGACTGCATGCTCACATGCACTGTCCCATGTACACGTATGCATGTACGCTCACACTCGCATATCCCCACACATGTACTCTGTCACACCCGCTCTTGCTGCTCTCATGTGTCCTTATGTTTTCATGCTCACCCTTGCACACTTACCCTCATGCACACTTGTAGACTCACACACATTCTTGCACACACACACACACACACACATGCATGCACACAGAGCTATTGCCTTCTCAGCTGAGCCCCTGCTGCAGACATATGGTTGCCACCTCAGAGGCACACAAGTATAAGTGCCAGGGCAGCAGGCCTTGTCACCCTGCCCCTGTGGCACCCAGGCCCCGAGTCTCAGGCAGGCAGTCTTGCCAGTCTCCTTGCTGATGCAGCCTCAGAGTGTGGGAGAAAGAGCCTGAGCAGCACGGGCCTCCCCTGAGAATCTGCAAAGGAGCCGTGCCAGCACAGCAGGCGCAGGCTTCATCCCAGAGGGGTGATTTGCTGGGCATCACGCTGGCCAGCTGTAAAATGCACATGTACTTATTCCTGTCAATTCCCAAAGGTGCTGTCATTTTCAGAAAATGCAACAAAGCAAGCAACTCCAGCTTCATAAAAGAAGGCACAAAATTCATTGATTCATTTTCTATCTGGCACCCTTTATCAGCAGACATTAACTGAGCCCCTGTTAAGTGCTGACCTTAGGGCTCTCGGTCCAGCAGCAGGCAGACCCACAGAGCAGCATCTGCAGTGGGGGAAGCCGGCTGCTGTCACCGAGGCATGAGCAGGGAGGCCAGGAGGAGGCATCTCCAGCTTCCTGGAAGGCTCAGGAAGGCCCACAGCTTGTCGCTGCCCTTGAAGTTGTGACATCATCCATTGCTGATTCTGTGTCTCCTCTCTGAGCCTCCCAGCAAGGACGCCTCCCCTGACCCGGGGGAGGGCTTGCGAGCTGATCAGGTGTTAGCCAGAGAGGCTCTGGGAAGGGATGTGTCAGCAGGACTAGGGGAAATCATGTTTCAACCCAAGGTCCTTGGCCACGGGTGGGACTTGTCCCTCTTCTTCCTGCAGGCGTCGCTGCAGCCTCCTTTTGCCCTGCACCCTTTGGCCTGCTCTCAAGTTCAGTGTCCACTAGCGTGATTGCTACTAGACAGTTTCTCATTCTCTCCCATGCAGACAACTGTCAGAGGAAAATGCGAATCTCCAGGAGTACGTTGAGAAAGAAACCCAGGAGAAGAAGAGATTGAGCCGAACCAACGAAGAGCTGCTTTGGAAGCTCCAAACTGGGGACCCAACCAGCCCTGTTAAACTCTCCCCCACGTCCCCTGTTTACCGCGGCTCCTCCTCAGGACCTTCCTCTCCAGCCAGAGTCAGTACTACACCCAGATGACGTTGCCAGGCCGCCCCACGGAAGCTCCGGCCTCCAGCGTTTCCACCCCGAGAGAGCACTCACCAGGTGCCGCCGGAGCTGGCCCTGTGCGCATGCGCAGCCGCTGCATCGCGCGCCCCTGGCAGCGTCCTGCTCTGATCCCTGTGAGACTGTCCTGGTATGGGCACTTAGGAAAGTGTAAACGGTAGAGTCTGATGTGCAAACGTTTTACCATAGTTAGAGCCAAAAGAAAGACATTTCCAATTGTTCTTGAGCAATGAACTTTCACTGCAGAATTTCTGATTAGCTGCAAATAGCTCAGTTTTCAATATACATTGAATAATCATTGTGTACTGCACCGATGTGTGTGTATATTTAGATACACATATATGCACATGCGGCGGTTCTGAATTGCATTTTTTATAACATGAAGTGCTGACATATTTTAGTGGAGGTCAGCAGTTTTCTAACTTGTGCCTAAGAATTATTGGGAAATGAAAATGCATTTCTACCTTGCTTCCCAGGAATATTTCTACCCAAAATAGAAAAAGGAAAAAAAAAATGATACAGAGAAGAAGCGCCTTTCAACCCACCACCAAGTGGTACTACTCTCTTTAACACCAGCGATTTGTGAATGGTAACTGCCTTCGGAACAATCAGCTCTCAGTCAGCATGATGTGAGGTCACTGTTATTCCATTCTCGAGTTTTAATTATGAATGCTCTTGTTGTGAGTGGATAAGCAGTGGGAAACCCTAAGGAGTTTAGCAGTTTTGCAGATGTCACTCGTGACAGTGAGTCATCTATAATAGTCTTGTAAACACAAATTTTACTTTTTTTCCTAAATGGCACCTCAGAATTGGTCATTAAGCTATTGTCGCATGCTTGCGGAAAACATGGAAGAGCATGACCTTTTAGTGAGAGTGAGGATGACCTTGGGGATGACCAAGACTGTTCACGTTCTATCTTGGTAAAAGAAAACTGCTAATAGGGTCCGTATTTTGACCAGGCATAGAGTAGGAAAGTGTACTCCCACTTTCCATTTCATTTGCTCTGATACGAGGCTATATCATTGAAATATGACCCCCATTTCATAGGCAGACTCTCTTTCCATTTGGTTCTATAATCAGCCCCTTTACTGCACATTGAGATGGCTCAGGGGTTCTAGCAGGGGCTTCCAGAAAACCAACATTTCTGTCCCAATAACCAGTTCTAGGCCATTACATCAATTCCCAGAAACCCATTTGTACTTTCTACTTGACAACCGAATGACACTGGGGCTGATGATAGTCCCATCTTATCCCTAAGATGTTCTCCCAGACAGAGGAGCCCAATGAAACAGCCAGCCAGGGCTCACTGGCTTCTGGACTGGCATCTGTCTCTGACATGGTAGAATTAGAACATGAAAAGAATTCTATAGTGCTGTGGAAGATTAGGAGCATGATACACAGAGGAAGAAGTAGTTTTAACAGTCGATGTGGTGATGATAGAGATAATGACTTTGTTTCCTGTGTGTGACAAAGACCCTGCACTTTTCTCCCCAAAGCCCCTAAAACTCGTCCTGAGTACAAGCATGTCTTTGATCATGTCCAAGGCAAGAAGTATCCTGCAGGATCCTGCAGGGTCGCCAGAGCCATGGAGCAGGAAGGAAAACAGCCTGTGAAAGGGGTCAGCTCGCCCATGTGACTAACATGAAGGCAGATATGGTCTGTGTCCCTCACATGAGTCAAAGTTGGGCCCCCTAGGTCCTGCTCCTCCTGGGATCATACACAGTAGACACACATTGAAGCAACATTTTTCTTTAGAAGCTCCGCATGACGCAGTAACATTGAGTTGGGCATTCCATTAGATCATGTCACACTGACTGAATACACAATTATTTATTTTTTCAGCAGGGGCAACCTGCACAAACACAAGTTCGGTTGCAGCTTAGCTCTCTGGATGAGGACCCGCTTACCTAACCGCACCCACTAAATGCAGTTATACAGCAATACTCACCTTGGTGTGATGTTAGGATGTGGTGCAGTGCGTTAGGCCACTGCAGTCAAAGTTGTAGGGATGTTAGAACTAAGTAACCCTTCACTAGGTGGACTTTCGTGAGAGCTTTGCCCAAGCCAGTCCTGACCTTGGGTGCATGAGCTCATCTCCATAGGACCTTGGCTTTGTTCCCTTGTCATGACACCCATCACACATGGCCCGTCTTCAGGGCTGGAATCACGCCCAAGACACATGGGGGAGGTTGCTGTACCTCCCCCTGATTCGCCCCTCGCCCCGTATCATGAGGATGCAGGCCCCCCTCCATGGGACATCTGCCTCTCTCTGCCAGGCTGGAGCAATGCCTCCCAGTGCAGGAGCTGTGGCCTTCCCATCTGTCTCAGACCCACCAGATGTCATCAGTCTCTTCTTGGAGTTTGGGAGATGTGCCAGTGGCCTGCCCTCTACCCCCTGCCTGCCACACACTGGGATGAGGTTCTGGTGGGGTGGCAAGAGAGGTGGGGGATGCTGGCTCTTCTGTCATCAGTTGAATGGGGTTGCAATATTCCTGTCCTGCCCCCACAGTTTCTGTGTTGCATATTTGTGTTGAACTCTAAAGCTTATTAAAATAAACTTGAGGGACTTTCTTCAGTATCCACTTGACATAACTGGAGACCTATCCCTCTCGGACTGGGGATCCCAGGCAGGGAGGTGAGGGAGGCTGGGTTCCTTTTCTATGTGTGCCAGGGTCTGCTGAGTCTTACTGAGAGAATCCCAGGGACTTCCTCTCCCCTGAATCAGTAGGTCTGAGGGTCCCATGCCCACCCTTCTAGCAGGGGGTCTTTGGCAGCCTGTCACCTGGACTTGAGGGTGGCTTAGTGCTCTGCTCTGAAATACCGGGTGGGCAGGAGTTGAGTGGAAAGAGGACACAAAAGATCATTCCCTCATTTTAACCTGAAAGAACTGTTCCCCCATCAGAACTGTTCCATCAGCCTTCAGTTTGGGCTGCAACCAGTTTGGCTAGCCTAACCCTGGAGTGTCCCCCGAGTGCCTGGTACTGCTTGGGGCCACACAGGAGACCTAGGTTTGCCAGTTCCTGGTGGTTTTGCAGGACTTGTGGGAGATGTCAGCAAGTCCCTCATGAATAATTACTGAACAATAGACCCTTTGTAGATGGTCCATGAGTCACTTTCAGACCCCGGGTTATCCATGCTTCCCAGAGTAATGATGCCGACCACCTATGTATTAATGATCTACTAGTCAGTAAGTCCCAAACTGTTAGTTTCTTTTAGGGTATCTTAAATGCCTTCCACTTTTATAATAATCACCTCCCATTATACTCCTCACCTGTGAGGTAAACCAGGCAGGTGCCAACACCACCAGCTAACAAAGGAGCCAATGGTGACTCCTGCCTGGCACGTGAAGGATCCCAATTAGAGCCAACTTTGTCCTGTCCATGGAGAGCTGTGTCCCCTTCCATGGCTAATCTGCAGTAGGCACCTCACTTCAGCTTCCCCTGACTCAGTCACCTCCTCTGAGCTGAGCAGCCTTGGAGAGCCAGCCTCTCCATGCGTGGAAGACTTGTGTCACCTCAGCAGGAAGGAGACATGGAACCAACCACAGGTAGCAGTGGAGCAGTTAGATGTGCTCCCATCTGCAATTGGCGTTGAAGGACCTTCTCAGAGCTATTGCTACATCAGTGTCTGAGCTTCAAGTGATGACTCTGGGATTGTGCCCTGTCATCCAGTCTATGGTAATCAGGAGGTGAGGGTCCTGCCAGCTGGAGAGTCTGTGATAAATGTTTTAAATTAAAAAACAAAAAGTCTGGGCACAGTGGCTCATGCCTGTACTCCCAGAACTCTGGGAGACCAAGGCACGTGGATCACTTGAGCTCACAAGTTTGAGACCAGCCAGAACAAGATCAAGACCCTATTTCTAAAAATAGCTGGGTGTTGTGGTAGGCGACTATAGTCCCAGCTACTTGGGAGGTTGAGGCAAGAGAATTGCTTGAGCCCAAGAGTTTGAGGTTGCTTTGAGCGTTAACGCCACCACACTCAATCCCAAAGCAACTGAGACTCTGTCTCAAGCAACAACAAAAAACATTAAATGGTGGTAAGCTGTTCAGGCATTAAAAGACAGTGGGAGTAAATTTACTTAAATTTGAGAAATATTTTTTTAAGTCAGTCTGTTTCTCTCAAACTTCATGCCCCACACTTCATGAAACAAAACAAAGAAGGATATCTGGAGTTTCTGCTTGTCAAGCGCTGGTGGCACCTGCCTTGGCGTGAAGATGCAGGCAGGGTCAGGATGTTCAGATGCCTGAGTCTCCTCCCAACCCCCCTGAGGCAGAGCCACTGGCTCTGCAGAGCAGCTTCTCACTTGACTGCAGCCAACTCATTATGACAGGGATAGGGCTCTGCTCCTGCCCTGTGCCCCTGTACTAGTGGAGCACAGCGCTCCTGGACAAGAGGGAATTCAGCAAATGCATTCTTATAAGGGGTCAAATGTAAAAGCATCCCTGGGAAGGTTCATCCAGCACAGCTCCTTCTTCCCCACATAGCTCTAAATCCACTGAGATTAGGTGTTCAGCTTCACCGAGACGCCAAAGGGCTTGCTGGAGCTATTCATTAACAAACGTCCTGCCATTTTTTTTTTAAATGGCTATATTCATGGCTTGGTGGATAGGCTTAAATTGGTAAAAACTAAACTATTCCCTTGGGACAGGGGCTGACAGAATTATCTACAGGCATTGATGCTGAGCTTCCTTGCTACAGCCCCCGCCCAGGCCTATAAGGTAGCCAAGCGGGCCTGTGAGGATGGGTCTGAAGGGCTGGGACGGTGCCCTGGGATGTAGGTTTTCTGATTGCCGTGAATGATGTTTGGGGGCAGTTTGTGATTTACCAGCTTTTCATAACCAAACTGTGGAAGGAAAAAGCCTGGGTGACGTCCCTCAGGCCTCCAGACTGGACTGCCACAGGGCTTTGAGGAGCCCCTAGTCAGAGTTGGGTTTTTTTGAGACAGGAGTTTCACTCTTGCCCCAGGTAGAGTACTGTTTCGTCGTAGCTTACAGCAACTTCAAACTCTTGGGCTTAAGTGATTCTCTTGCCTCAGCCTCCCGAGTAGGTGCGACTACAGGCGCCCACCACAGTGCCTGTCTTTTTCTAGAGATGGAGTCTCCCTCTTGCTCAGGCTGGTCACCAACCAGTCAGGGTTTTCTAAGCAATTGCAAGAAAACTGCAGAGCCTTTTCAGGCTTCCAGCGTGGTACTGAGAGGCAGCAGCCACTAGGTGGCAGTGTAGCGCTGCGGGAACTGGGGTCTACCTTGCCCTTGGCCCAAAGTCGTCCAAAGCGACTAGAGGTGGCCTTCTTAGTGGATGCACACAGAAATACAGGGAAAAGGCATGCCCTGCTCATTTCCCAATTCGGGGACCCATTCGGCATTCTCTTGGCTGTTATTCAAAGTCAGCCCGTTTTGTGACCCAATAGCTGGGTTCTAGTTTCCATCTCCCTGGAATTTGTGTTGCACTGAGGGGGAGACTGCTGCTACCCTATATCCCAAGTGCTGCTCTGCTGCGTCTTCCAGACATGCTGCACATCCTTGCTTTTACACTGCCCACACTTAGTGGTCTGGTTTCCTGTGTGGGCAAGAAACGCGAAATGTGCATGTGCTCTCGGGTGCAGGTCCTTGTAGATATTCCTGATTGTGGACATGCTGGCTGTCAGGAGAGCAGCCACCTGCCCTTCTTGCCACACAGCTCCCCAGGTGTTGGCTTCTAGAGCTATCCATCGGCTGACAAAACTCAAAGGTCAAACCCAATCTTCCAGGCAGCAAACCTTCCAGCAAAGTCACTGTGAATCACCACCTTTCAGTATCTGAGAATTAAGGCCCACTTGATTGATTTGCGTTCTGCGCGAGAAAATGTCTTTCTCCAGGGAGCTGGGGGTGGTGAGATGCCAGCAATGACTAAGAGCCACTACCCTCCCCCACCATCCCCAGCGCTGTGTGCAGCCCATCCCCTAAGGAAACAATACAAAGAGGTAAACACCAGGTGGAGGTGTCAGTGGACCGAGAGTCTCTTGCTGCCCGACAAGCAAGCGCTATTCCCTCTGAGCCACTTAGCCCTCGACAGCCCGCCTGGCAGGAAGATCTCTTGGGCCCAAACCCCAGGCAAGTCTGGAAAGACACGACAAGGTGGCAAAGGCAATGTGGGGCTGAGGGATTCCCTAGTTGAGGCTCAGCTTGGTGGGATAAGAATTTCCCCTGGTGGCTGCAAGAACCTGAGCACGGGCTGTGTGGAGGCAGGAAGGCATTGACGGTACAGCACAGGATCTGGGGCTGGCCATGAAGCATCAGGACCCCTGTGGGACCCAACCGAGAGGATTCCTGAGATCACACTCCACACACCGAAGCCAGAAACAGCATTTATTAGAATCTGCAGAAGCATGAGCTAGTGTACCACGAAAGAGTTTGATTTTACAACATGATGTGTGGGAGAAAGTTGTCAATATATGGCATTGTCAGCAAAAGGAGATATGGAGCAGTTTCACATTTTTTGAAAGGCAAAGGACAACAATGGCGTGTCCTTAACATAAAATAAAAACAGGAGTCCCAGCAGAGACCAACCTGATTTGCAGTTAGCATAAGAAGCTAAATCTAGTATCACAATTATAAGAAACTATTAGAAAAATAGAGCATCAAACAAGCAAAAAAATTACACAATTTACAAAATAAAAAACACACAACTCTTTTAATAATGGCTCCATGTTCAGTAGAAGAAAAAAATTTACTGGAGAAACCACCGCTATTCAGGTTTGACAATAAACCGACCCTCATTAATATCATTACCCTTTGTGCTCCTTAGACCCTTTGAAGCTAAAAGGCACAACTTAAGTAGGAAACTTATCTTAAATATATGACTTCTCAAGTGGGAAAATAAGTCCCAAACTTAAAAAAGTTTGTCATCAAGAAACACAAAATCATATACTTTGTTAATAAATTAACAAAGTCTGAAATGCATCTTCCCAGTCCTGTTTCCTAACCTGCTGGACACACTAACACCCTGAGAAAATCTGCGTGGGCTTCTCTTTAAGCTTGGTCAAGGGATTTCATCTCATGTGGGTTTTTCAGCCAGCAGCTCGATATATTTGTGGGATGATCCCGGAGGGCTTCTTGGGAACTGTGTAGCCTACGACTCTTGAATGAGAGCACAGTGGCTTGGGAAGCAATGGGCACCAAAAGACCGATTAGAATGACGATGAAAGTCAGTTGAAAATCTTTTGCCTTAAAAATCCATTAGGCATCATAACTACACCATATGTAGTTTCTTGCACCACTAGGTCAATAGAGCAGTCCAGAAGAGCCTGACCAATGTACATCTCGCTCTCCCTGAAGAGCTTTACATATAATCCTTTTGTTAAATGGCAAACAGATAAATTTTAAATTGCACATAACAGTCATCCATAACATGTATTCAGTTCTATCAGGTGAGCTCTGGGACAGTTCCACATACATCTGCCCAGTAATTTTCCAGGCCTGGGAGCTTGATCAGGAGACTCGGAAAATGCGGACACAAATGTGCCTCTGGTCCATCCACGAGGGCCCTGGCACAGCAGGGTTGCTGGGTGCCAAAAGAACTGTCAGCTCACATTAAAGAGAATGTATCCATGTAAAAATGGGGTGTTTAAATCAGAAAAGAGGAGCCCTGGCAAGGAGCCAGGTAAGTTTTCTCTAACAGTGAGTCCCTGTGTCAGGAAGTGCCTACAACTTTGCCCATGAGCCTGGGACCCTTCAGGGGGGTTGGCCACGTGCCACACATCCAGACTCTGGCTCTAATCTCCAGATAGCATCAAGCTGGAGGCCATAACATGTGGGACTGCAACAATAGCCCGTTCACAAGGCCTGCTTAACCCCTAGGGGGTCAAAGGGAGAACTGGGGGTGTGCCCACATTTCCACAGGTCTCCCAGTCACACTTGATATGCATAGGCAAAGCCATGGACAAAGGTGGGGGTGCAGGAGGGAGTGTCAGGGCCTGAGCTGTTAGGGCTGCAGAGGCGCCCACTGTCCTGCAGTTGCCCCTGGACCCGCAGCATATCCCAGCCAGTGCCCCTCAGGCAGGCAGGCAGCCCGAAAAAAACATCAGCACATGAACTGCCTGCCTGATAAAGATATATTGAGACTGTCTGAAAAAAAAAAAAAAAAAAGGAGTCTCGAAGGAAAGAGAGCCCTTACTGCAGGCAAAAACAAACCCCAAAGTGCAGGATATCTGAGCAATTCTGACAATAACATAATTTAAGCAACCTTTCTGAAACAGCCTAGTAAAGACAGTCTATCACTCCTCCCTCTTGGTTTAGAAAAGGAAACCCAACAGCAAGCCCCCCGGAGTGAGGGGGAGTGAGCAGGGATGATGAGCCTCCCCCAGCAGTCCCCTTCCCCCTGCCCTCCTGCAAGCCAGGGCCCCGCTGCTTCCCTGCTTCACCCCTGCTCTTCAGCAAAGGCGCTGCAGTGTGGTCACGGGGGTGTGGGAGACAGGCAGAGACGCCCGCTCATCACAAATGGTCTTTCCGACGTGGGCATCGGGGCTGGTGCACAGATAAAAGTAGACACAACATTCCGGTGGGTGTGTGTCGAGTAATGTGGAAGTTCTGACTCCGTAGGAAAATGCTGGCCGGCCATGAAAGTGAGAAGGATATTCTTGTTTGGGGAGGAGAACTACGATGGAAAACTATCAGTCATTTTTCCCCTGCCTGTGTGTGTTTTTATTTCAGAGGAAGGAAGGTGCGGTGTGATAAGGAAAAGTCTATTAAAATTGTGAGGCTTATCCCAAATACCATTACTTACATTATCGCCCTTGCGCAGAGAAGAGAAAACCTCTGGCAAGTGTACAAAAACTACTCTTGGTAAAGCATGGTAATCCGTGAATTATTCATGCAGGTCATCCTCAGGTGTCCCTTCCTCACTAGACGGCCTTTCTCTCATGGGGAGAGCACGAGCGCCTCATCCCTGCTGAGTGGCGTGAGCTTCTGTGTCCTGCATTAAGGCCTCAGTGGAGAAGGGACCCAGACTCCCGGTTGCCTGGTGCCATCTTGTGCCAGGCTCTGTGGAGGGGACACTCTTCTTTCATTCTGCAGGGTGATGTGTGCTGCTGAAATGTCACCTGTAAATACTGACTACTGCCTGCCTGTCATGTGCTGTCTTACATGAAAATTTCAATCAGAAAGAGAAACTAAAGTTAAAAACAATTCCCCTTCCCTATGCCTCTTGGACACCCTCATTTCCTCAACTTGTCTTTGCCTGTGTAGAGAGTAACAGAAACAAAGAAAACAATATATAAAGCAAACAAATAGCTGGCTGGAACTAAGAAGACGGCAACTAAACCCCCAACAAAATAAGTTAACATTTATCAGAATATTTTACAGCACCAATCTACATAAATGTAAATACCTTTCTTTGGAAATCTAAGCTTTGGGCTCTTAGGACACTCTCTCTGGAACATTCACAAATGAGATTTAGAATAAAGACTCTGCAAAGTGACCAGGGCCTGGCACCAAGCCCAAGTCCAAGGCTGCCCACCTGCCCTCCATTGGCTGTTCAGCCAATTCTTGCATTTCCCTCCAAGAACCTTCTGGGACAGAGGAGGAAAGTCAAGTGCTATTAATCTGTAAGGCTTCTTCCGACCAGACTTGTGTCAAAGGCCCAACTGGGAGCATATGGAAAACCAGTTTGGAGAGCAGCATTTACATTTCCCAGGGTGTCCAAAGTGCAACTTCCCTTACTCTCCCTTCAACACTGTCTCTGAGCAAGGCTCTAGGGGAAGAAGGGCTCCATCAGCATTCTTGCATCCTCTGGCTTCAAGCTACAAGGAGTGTGTGCAGTGGTGTTTGCCCCGGCCCCAGCCTGAGCTACAGACACAGGTATGCTGCGGAGGACAGGGTGTCTGGGCTGGACCCACTGCTCTCTGACTTACGGAGCCAGAGTGTTTAGGTGACAGAGATATGAGAAGGACAGCACTATGACCAAGAGTCATCTCACATGGGGACCATGAATCCTTATTTCAATAGCTTGGGCTGATTACCTGGCCATTTTCCAAATTAATGTCAATTTAATATGGTGGAGTGACTTCACAAATTTCACGGACTATGTGGTCTGATTCCAATTTCATCACACACTTTGTGACCCAGATGTGTCATGCCCCTAGACTGGGCCTTGAGAACTTTATAGGTGCCCAGTGACTGACTCGAAAGCACGAGAGGGCGAGATTCAGTGATGGCAAAGACCCATAGGAAACGACTGTAGATCTGAGGCCAGTCCCACACAAGACAGTCTCATGTTCCAGTTACTCAGGACGCAGATAAGGTAAAAGACAGCAGAAGCAGCAAGACTGGCCCAGACGTGGTGAGTGTGGGCTGTAGCACGTCCCCTGGTTTATGAGTGCCCACGTGCCCATGGGAGTGAAGCCAGCCCTCCCCTGCCCTAAGGCCTCATTCCCACCAGGACCAATCCCTTCTTCCCTGTCTGAAATGAACCCCCTGCTCTTGGTGGCCACAGGACTCAGGCTGTCTGCAAAACCTTGCCGGAAGAGCCTGTGGGGGAGGGGTCCAGCCCTAACAACCCCACCTGGAAGCAACTCAGGCAGGCTCAGAAGGAAATGGTCCTATTGTTCCTTTTTAAGTACACAGCTGTCATGTGACTCTAGGTGGGGCTGCTGGGGGACACCATTTAGTGGTAGGGTCTCTCATCTATGGCTGCCATTGAAACAGGAGGAGATGGCTACTAAAAGTCTGGAGTGTGCACGTTGTCAATCCCAAAGCAGTCCCTGGGGGTGAGGCCTGCTTCCCCAGGGGAGACAGGTGACCTCTGTTCTGCTGAAGCTGGGGCAGCAGGGTGCTGAGCTGACGAGAAGAGCTGCTTTCTTTGTTCTGAGAGAAGGGGGAGACACAGTGGCCAGCCACAGCCAAGTGGCCCTGGCCAGAGAGCTGTCTGGAGGCAACCAAGGACTCGTGAACCAGCCTCAGAGCTGGGTCTGGGCAGCACACGTGAACCGTGGGCTGTGGCTGAGCTTCAAGTAACTGCACCTGCAGCTGCACGGGGCGTCGTGGGTATGGGCGGCTCCTGTGACACGGGTGGGGAGAGCAGGGTGCTTCTCGGGTTTCTGGGGCTGTCCCTTGGGGCTGCTGCCCCTGGGGGCGGAGCTATGTATCACTTGCACTGGTCCAAATTGTCGTCAGGAGTCCTTGCTTGGTCGGCAGCCAGGGACGCCTCCTCACTGTGCCATAGACCGTAGCCAAAGTAGATGACAAAGCCTGTGTGCCAACAGCAGAGAGACAGGCCTGAGCAGAGTGGGCCGGGCTGTCACAGAGGGCTGCCCCACAGCTTGTGGCCCCACAGAAAAGCCTCTTGCAGGGGCATGAGCCTGTAGCCAGGGGCCCTCCTGGGCTGGCTTTCCACAGCTAGAGAAATCACACGACTCTTCAGATAGTCGGTGATGGGCATTGTCTGCTTTATCTGGCAAAGCCATGCATCCTTCTGGACAGACTCACGCTGTGGCCATTTCCTTAGCAGACAGAGAGGTAGGGCTGGGGGCCACAGGAGGGCACTGGGCCCTTCAGCTGAACCTTTTGACCAGCTCTGAGGCCCCTAAGGCTATTCACTCCTGGGGTGGGATCTGCAGCGGGTGCTAGAGGTTCTGGGCTGTCGGGACAGTTTCCACTACCCACTTTCTCTATGTAATTGGACCTCAGAACACAGGAGACACTGAGCACCCAGGGACAGGCATCACATAGGAGTCTGCGCCCTCTTCCCAAGGCCCCTGGTAGGCTCTAGGGCCACCCGCTGAGGGACTGTAGCCAATAGCCAGGGGCTACTTTGTGCCCTTGACACAGAGAGCAGGCCTTGAAGGAAGGACTCAGAAGCCCAGAGCACAGGGAAGGAATTAGCACTCTGGAACCCAGGGGCTTAACAGGGAGGCTGGGACGCGGTGAGGGTGGGTGTGGGCAGCTCTCTTTCAGGAAGGCTCTATGGACATGTCCATCTAACCAGGCATGGGCTGGACTCTGTAGAGGAGGACTCATCCCTGCTGCTGGCAGAGAATGGGGCCACAGAGTGAATGCTGGAGAAAAAGACTCCCTCAGAAGCCCCAAACTCAGGGCTCAGAGGCTCAGCAGGACCTGGGGCCTGAGGGGCAAAGGTCAGGGCCAGTCCCCCGGACATTAGCATCAGGACTTAGACACTGAGAGAGGAAATTGACTTCATCCCCTCCAGCCCTGGAGTGAGCAGCCCAGAGGGGATGGAATAGAGTCAGTCCCAAAAGGGTGCACTCATCCCTGGTGACCTCACAGGAGACTCCCCACGCCCGGGAAGCCCCTACCATAGGCTCTAAAGTGCCACCCTTCTACAGAGAAGATGCCAGCAGCCTGAGACACCCACATCTTCCCAGGCCCACAGGTGCCAGCCAGGCCCAGGAGCGGGCGGCACAGTTTAGACCCTCCTGTCGGGTACGTGAAACTAACTGGTGCCTGTTGACAGCAGACTCATTGTCTTGTTCTTACTAACATCAAGCTACAACTAGCTTGGGCAAGAGGCAATTAAAATGAGAAGTATCTGAAAGGGAGAGGAGAACCACCACCTCCCAGGAACGCAGCATTGTTCTAGAGAAGACAGCTGACTCCGTGCTTCATCGTGTTATGAAATCGGAACTAGTGGAGATGCTATGACATGGACCATCCAGCCAAGCTGAGGGCTAGGGGAGCTGGGAGAAGCCAGGACACTGGACACGCTGGTCACACCAAAACGTACCTATCAGCATCCACACTGCAAACCGGACCCAGGTGCCTCGGTCCAGCTGCATCATGAGATAGATGTTGACGAAGATGCTCAGCACGGGGAGCACGGGCAGGAAGGGCACCTGCAAAGACAAAGGCAGCGTCAGACCTCAGGGAGGCAGGCTCCCACGGCGCACACTACCCAGGGAAGGCCAGGAGGTGAAAGCTCGGGGTCTGTCAGGGAAGAGTGGAGAAGGGAAGTGAGCGCCAACTTCCCTCCCCCCTCCCCACACCCCAAAACACATGCAAGAACCCACAGGCTGATCCCAACAGGCGGAAATTTGGTTCTAAGCTACAAAATGCCACAGTGGGCACTGTCCCAATTCTCCTCTCGTGTTATTCTCTAGAAGGGGCTAGAAGAGAGACTTCCACTGCATCTCTAAAGTGTAATGCTTTCATTATTTGTATAATCAAAAATGCAGATGGCTTGCTGGTCGCCAAGGCTTGGGAATCACATTATGATTCACCTGGACAGACATTTACCAGAAGCCACTATGGACAGATGCGCCCACTACTTGAGGCCAGTCTTCTGGCAACACTGCCTGTGCCCTGGGGCTCCTGCCCTGTGTTCTCTGAGGCTGGCCAGCACCGAGACCTGGCTAGGCCCATACAGCACCAGCTGACTAGCAGAAGGGCCAATCTGTGGGCTGCCAGGAGCCCCTTCCCCACAGGCCCACTGGGCCAAGCTGCTCACCTTGAAAGAGAGCTTGGTCTTGCTCTCAGGCTGCCTCCAGATGACGCCCGTGACCAGCATACAGAGGAGGACAGATCCCGTGAGCACAAAGATTGCCCACAGCTCCCCTTGGGCCAAAGCCTCCTTCCCAAGCACGGCCACAATGCAGAAAATGATGATAAGGGTGGCTAAGAGGGAAGGAAGAGGGTGAGGTGCAACTCAAGTTCCCACAGTGTCCTCAGCTCCCCCCAAATCCTGTGAGAAGGGAGGCTCCACTTCAGAAGGCATCAGCTGGGGAGGACAAAACAGCTAAGCTGTAGCCCAGCAGCCAGACACACACCTCCAGCACCCTCCCCACCCCCCGTCCACTGAAACAGCAACAAGCAGGACCCCGGGCACCTTCCAGGGAAGGGCAAGCTCTTACCTATGAGGCCAGTTGAAATGTTCACTATTAGCCCAGAGAGTTTGGAAGGCTCCATGTTTTTGGGTGAGAGTACGGTTTTCAAAGAAAGCATCTCTGCTTCTGGTAAGAAGCCTGTCTGGGAATCACTGGTGCTCACCAGTTCATGCTGGTCCACCTGATCTAACTCATCGGTAGTTCTGGCCATCTGGTATACCAGGTTAGGCTGCTCTGGCTGATAGCTGCAGAGAAATGTATGGCATGACCACCATCATAGTTAAGCAGAAAGATACACAGGTTCATAATAAGCCTTTAAAGGTAAGGTGCCTGGAGCACAAGGCACAAAATGGAAAGCCGACAGTCAGAATGGTGCATCTTCTGGCAAAGGGGGGACACAAAGACTGAGCAGAGACCTCAGTCTCCTGCTTCTGGGCAGCACTCTCCTTGGAGTCTGTTTTGGGGGACCTCTCCCAGGGCCTCCAAAAGGACCATCCCTCTCTCCAGAGGAATGCCCTGGAGGGTTTCTCTTATTCTGAGAAAGGTATGAGGCATCTTCACACAAAACTCAGGCTGTCTGGAGCTGAAAGGAAGGACAGAAATAGAAAGCAGTAACGCCAGGACCCTGTTTGGTGCGGACAGCTAGAGAAACGTGCCTGCAGGCTGATGGATTTGAGAAATTCTGTTTGTGTGACTTAATTGGATCAATTTATTTTAAAACTCCAAGTGCCGCAGAGTAAATAACTCTGCATTGCTGGGTGAAGGACTGAGCCCGCGGTGCAATTTCCAAGACAGAGCTACCTGCAAAGGCAGCATCCGCTCTCAACCAGGCTCCTTATCTTCCTACATGAAACAAGCAGAGTGCAAATCTTTTCTACCAGCTTTGAAAAACAGAGTGCTTCATGAATTATTTTGCATATGATCACTCCTAAGAGTAAATGCAAAGATATTTGACCATTTTTGTGCTGATTCACTTGTACAACACCAGTCAGTCAATTAAGAAAGTGGGGGACCTCAGACAATATTCTAGCATCGAGCCTCTAGGGAGGAATACGGGGTCCACAAACTGGTTTTAGCTCATTCTACATAATCACAACTCAGTCTCAACTCAGTTTTTATGTAAATTAGCTCAGTAGGGCACATTCGAAATGGAATCGATAACACTGTGAGTGTAAATACCATGGGAGAAAGAAGGAACCTCTTGCAGGGAGACCACACTGAGGGTCTCCACAGTGTTCTCATATGAACACTGCCTTGGCCACCCCTGAGGCAGGTGAGAACACTGAGGTACCCACCTGGGCCCAGAGCTGCCTTTCTGTGACTGTCCATGGTGCTAGCCTGGCCCACAACACTAAAACAGCCAGATCCTGGGAAGCGTCTCAGACCTCACTCAGCCTAGGCTGCTCCACACTGGATGATGGGATTCATTCCTCCAGTCATGGTGCAACAAAGCTGCGGAAGATCACGCTGGCCTAGGTCTCACAGGCCGTGGATTCTCCCGATTCCTGTCAGGGCCAGCCCCAGGCCCTTCTGTCTCAAGAACCTGGACCTAGGCAATAATTACCCTACGTCTCCAGAAACTCTTGATCCCAGGATCCAGACCCAATAGTTGGTCTGTGAACCTGTCTCTACCCTCCCAACATCCAGCCCGAAAAACGAGGGCACATGACAGAGTGAGATGAAGGGTCACCCCAACTCTTCAAGGGCAGCCTCCTAACTAGACTTCCCATCCAGATCCCACCCTCTTCTCAGCAGCTCCAGAAGGAGCTATCACCAACCCCAAAGTTGCACCTTATAAACAATTTGAACCGTTAAAAGCATACCAGGAGCATCCACATTTCTATCATAGAACCCAGAAAAGCCATACGTACCGTAAGACCAACACACAGGCGGCCACCAAAGAGTAAGCCAGGAGAGTGCCGATGGACATGAGGTCCACCAAGTCCTTCAGGTCAAAAAGGAAGGCCATCACAGCTGGGAAAAGACACATCAGGATGCATGGATGGCCCTTTGCACTTGCTGACAGCAAGGCCCACCACCCACCCGCTGTGCAGGGCGCAGGAAGGGTGCTGCTCTTCCTCCCACACCTGGCCTTGCCATGGAAAGACGTGACTCAAAAGGAAGACAGGCTCAGGATTACATCACACACAGCCCTCAGCAGACAGTAATACTAACATTTGTTTAGAGAGTACTTTCACTCTTTTTAACCCTGTGGCAACTTTGTAAGCTCTATCTATAACCTCAGATGGAGAAACTAAAGTTCACACAGGTTAGGAGACTTGTCTAAGCCCACACAGTTTTTAAGAAGAGCCAGAATGTGAGCTAAGCTGTTGTGACTCTGAGACCAGAGTGTCTTCCTCAACACCATGCTGACTCACAGACAGCCATGTGCATCTATCCCTCATCCATTGATCATCTCATCTATCCATCCATCACCCATTCCTTCCAAAAATCTACCCATCATCCATCAAGCCCACCCAATCCATCATCTATCATCCATCCATCCCATCTATTTATTCATCCTGTCTATCATCCATCCATGCCATCCCCTCCTGTCAATCCATCATCTATCCATTCATCCATCATCCACCCATCCACTCATCCCATCCCTCCACCTACCTTCCATTCTTCCATCCAGCCTTGACAAAGACTGCACCTGTCACTGGGTCCCAGGTAGTCCCCATCAAGCAGGGTGAACCACAGTCACTGGCCTCCCTGAGGACCCTCCCACAACACAGACAACAGAGCTGGAGTGACAGAGGAGGGCAAGTCTGACGCTCTGGGAGGACTCACAGGGGCTCTTAAACCAGGCAGGTAAACAGGGAAAGCAGAGCTGTTCTCTCTGTATAAAGTCACTTCCCCTAATCATGCCCCCCACCTTTAAAAAAGAATCAAAGCATGCATGCTTATTTGAAAATCCTTTGCAAGTTTGGTGAGAGTATGTGTGTCTATTTATGTGGGTGTATATGTTAAATTTCCCATTAAAAAAACAACAGGCCTAGATCTACTTTGGGATATTTTCAAATCACACGCAAGTGAAAACAACACAATACCATTATTTTTCCACAAATATCTCTCAAACACTCTAGATCACTGCAACTAAAAAAAAAAAAAAAAATTAAACTGAGGATAAATAACAGGATTAAAGAGCAATGAAGGCCTTTCAGAACAGTCTGTCACACGTGCCTGCACCCTACTCACGGAAAACCTGGGACAAATGTCTTCCACGTGAAGCGATTTTAGAAAACTAAATACTTATTTACCACTCCTGACAAATGAAAATAAAGAGTCATCCTGATTTGGTGAATGGCGTATACTTCACAGTCACTTGCAAAATCATGGTTTGATCACCCTTTATCAGTACCCTTTATTCATTTATTGATTTACTTTGAGACAGAGTCTCACCCTGTCACCTGTACTAGAGTGGAGTGGTGTCACTGTAGCTCACAGCAACCTCAAACTCCTAGGCTGAAGCAATCCTCCTACACCTCAGCCTCCCCAGTAGCAAGGACTATAGGCATCTGCCGCCACACCTGACTAATTTTTCTATTTTTAGTAGAGATGGGGTCTTGCTCTTGCTCAAGCTGGTCTCAAATTCCTGGGCTCAAGCAATCCACCTGCCTGGGCCTCCCAGGGTGCTAGGATTACAGGTGTAAGCCACCCTGCCCGACCAGGGCCAACCTTAAATACGACAAAAACACATGTAAACACTGAAAAAGCATTTACTATTTCCACTGCCTTAATCCCTTAGATGTTCTGGTCATATTCTTTCTGACATGAGGTACCACTCCACTTGACCACTGCAATCACTCTCAAGAGCTAAAAAAAAAAAAAAAAAATCACACAAAAAATGTATTAAATAATTAAAATAGCCTTCTTTTACTCTATCATATTAATCTACAAATTTTAGTGTGCTTCACTAAAGGGCATAAACACCAACAAAACCCAGTGGGTAATTCATTCATTTCAGATGATCAAGTGTCTTTATCAATGGCTACTCAACAAGTTGCTGTGGTACAAAGTGTGACTGGTGGCATGTGCTCAAATTGGCCAAAAAGACCCACCACTCCACTCAGACCCCAGAAGGAGCTCAGCCGCTTTGGTGTAAAAATAAATCAGGAGTCAAAAGCCAGCCCTACCCTTGTGGGTGTGGGCCTGGACTTCTGCACCTATACGGTGGGATGGTGAAGTACAATCCAGAGAAGAGATAAATAAAACAAACAGCATAGAGCAGCAGGCAGCTGAGTTTCTTCGGGGGGCTCCCTTTTCTTCATCAGTTCCCTGGAACAGCACACAGCTCTGAGGGTTCGTTAGTCCCCTCCTTTCTGCCATCTAAATGGCCCTCTCAGTGGCACAGCGCATCTGACAAGATGAGCCTCCTCTGGGTCTGCCAAGATGTGTAAACCCAGGGGCAGGCAGGCAGCCTCATCAGCAACACCCTCACTGTTCCAGGAGAACAGGTGGCACATTTTAGAAAATGCTGATTGGAAGGGACACTTGTCTGCCAGAGAATTCACAGACAGTGAATTTCCAGGTCCTAACAAAAAGTCTTGCTTAGCGTGTACCAGGCAAGAAGTCAGCCTGCCCAAGTCTCGTCAGCGAAACACTCAGAAAGGGGGAAGGACAAATGGCTCTGCAGGAATGGTGTGTGGGCCACACTCTGTCCACCTTTCCAAATTCCCTCACATCCCCTGCCAAACTGGCCTCTGCCTCTCATCAAAAGGACAGGTATCTTCTAAGAAACCAGGATGTGTAAAACCACGTATTAGAAAGACCAGTTAAAATTTCTCCCAGACCAGTACAATTCAAGATTTCTCCCTAGGGAAAAATAACCCGACTGTTAAAGCCCTGGCATGTGAGATAAGTGCCAGCTCTTACCAGCAATGGCACCTGAGGTTAATGTGGCGATTATTGGTGTTTTGGTCCTATCGTTGATTTTGGCCAAAAATTTAAACAGCAGTCCATCTTCAGCCATGGCATAGATAACTCGAGGCATGGGAAACATGGAACCTAAAAGGCTGGAGAGAGAGAAAAGGGCAGAACACACGAGTAAAACTGGCTTGTCAGGCACACAGGCACCACGCACAGCCTGCCCTTGAGGAAAGGGGACCTGCAATCCCTCCACACTTGCGAGGTCCAGGGCTAAAAGACTCGGCATTTACCCCATCAGCCAGGAGAAAGCACACACTGATGGTGAACGCCTAACAGAAACTAGCATGAAATCCACTCTCAGTCTTCACAGAAGGGGAAATGTGTACATATATTTACTCCTGCAATTATTTCTAACTCAAACAGAAAACACAAGCACCACACATCCATGAGGATTTCTCTGTGGTGAATCAACATTGAGTAAAAAGTTCCTACTTACACCAGCTTGTAGGAAACACCAGGGCAAAAATGTTTCCCATTAGAAAGCTCTTATTCCCCTTTCCGGAGTAGCCCCAGCTTCATCATCAAACTAAGGGCCAAAATATGGGGCTCAAAGAGGGGGTCTGGTCAAGTGACCAAAGTTAGGGACAGAGGACCAGAGCCCCACTGAGCAGATGACATTGAGAAGTTCCGCAGGATGAAAATGTCAGAAACACAAACTCTCGGGATGATTAATAGCAACAAGTTCTGTTGGCTCTTTCTGAAGGGAGGAGGGAGGTTAGCAGCTGACCTTCGTCCAGCGTGGCCTAATGGGGCCAGCTGTTGCCTTGCTCTGCTCCCTCCCACATGCAGACCTCCAGCAGGAAGAAGCCTCTCTCACCTGGTGGAAAGCGCACAGAGGGAGCCCACAGCCACTGCATACTTGGCGCCTTCCCAGCCCACGTGCTTGAAGGCGTCGGGCAGGGGACTGTCCTTGTCCAAGCAGAAGTACGGCATCATGAGGGTGAGGGCAGCTGACACTCCAAAGTACGCGATGAAGCAGATGAGGAGGGAGGCGACGATGCCCACGGGGATGGCCTTCTGCGGGTTCTTGACCTCCTCGCCTAAAGCCAGCAAGGGGTGAGCCTGAGGAGGGCAGCTGGCCGAGGCACAGCCTCCCCACATGATACGAAGGGCACTCGGGGCCAGGGAGCCCACACCACCACAAGTAACTGCCCCAGAGTGGTTGGCCCTGTGGGAATGAGTGGCCTCAGGATCCCAGGAACTGGGTGGGGAAGCAGCGCTCAGGAACACCAGATGGCCTGACCCCCGATGGTGTTCTCAGCCTGCACACTGCGATTCCACCAAGGAAGAGTCTTGTTTCCTTTGGCGGAGAAACTCTTGGAGGCCCAATGGCACTTGGCCTATTCAATCCGCAAGGATGACAATATTTTTAATGGCCTCATTTCTCCTGATGATGCACAGATATGCCATCAGGCCACAGCCACCCTGCCATCATCCACTCTAACAGCAGAAGCATCAGTCACGTTCACGATGCAGGTTCCTGTCAGGCACTGCCCCTCAGGGGGATGATAAGGAGGGAGGTGGCAGGGATCAGCAGGAAGCTGCAAAAACACACACTGCTCACGTGTGGAAGAGTGGCCACTGGGGCGCGCCGACACGAAGGGAAGCGGGGCCCTGGGCAGCGTCGGCCCCACCTGTCTGCCGGATCGCAGACAGAACGTACCTGTGGTGGCGATGCAGTCAAAGCCAACGAAGGCGTAGAAGCAAGTTGCTGCCCCGGACAGGACACCAGAGAATCCGAAGGGCATGAATCCACCCACACCAGGTTTCCCTTCTTTTGTGTTACTAGAAAATAAGAGGCACAGGCAAAATCAGCACCGCTGGGTAATCCAGCTCAGGGACAGTGCTCATCTCCTGAAGAGAAGCAACAGCAGGCACGACCTCCACACCCTCCCACCATGTCATACGGCCAGGCCCAGGGTCTCCGGACCCCGTCTGTGATCTGGGGGTGCTGCACGTGCCCCGGCGTTCCTACTCCAGCAGGCCTCTCTGTGTTTTGTGGCCCAAAGACAAAAGGGTATGTGGTCTTGCCCTTTCCAAAAGCACCTTCTAACAACGGCTTTGGCAGAGAAAGGCAGGTTCTGTGGGTAAGGGGTCTGAAGGGAAACAGGGAAGAAGCCAATCCCTGCCACCGCCCTACACCCTCCTCTCCAGGACCCTCAGAGGGAGAGAGAACCACCAGCCAGGAGCACCGCCTGCCCTGGTCTCGTATAGTTACCAGTAACTCAATCTCAAACAAGTATTTTAGGAGAAACTAAAGTATAAAAAAATAAAAAAATTGTGCTGTCTCAGTCTCAAGCTTCCACAGGCAGGGCTCAACACATATTTGCTAAATTAACAACTGCAAAGTCAAACAAGCACTGTTCATAAATGCAGATGTCCAAAAGAAGACCAGCTACTTAAAGGTTCAGAAAATAGTCCCAGTGAACCTGACATCCGTGACCCTATGACCAGCACTGTGCCCACGTTCAGCACAGCCCTTCAGCCCCTCCCAGTGCTCTGGCCTGGGTCCTGCCCTCCGCTGCCCAGAGCCTGGGCTGTCTGTCTCCCCCACATGCTTTACTCTGGGGGTGCACTACATACATAGTGCAGGCAGCCTCCCTGACCGCCATGTCTAGTTACGACACACACTGCCCCTGACTGTCACCAGGTGACCCTAACCTTCTGCAGCAGGACTCAGCTGCCACCTGAAAGGCAGCCGAACTCCTTCCAGTTCAGGGAGTCTTTTCACCTCCCCCACCATCCAAACCTTTGCCAGCAGCAGGGCTCTAAGCTTCTATCCTGTCACAGGGACATGGTGACCAGCCCACAGACCAAGAGGACGATCACCACTGCCCTCTGTCCCACCCACTCAACTAGGCTGACAGCCACCCAACTGCACAGGACAACCTGTCCTAAACCATGTCACTTCCAGCATGAGAAGAGGAACCATATACGTGTATAGTGATAGACGTAGGAAAAATTGTCATCAAACAAGTTTTATTTTGCCATCTTCAGGTATGGCTAAAACCAACAACCCAAGTACAGAAACAAACAGCCAGGACGAGTAAGTCAACAAGGCCACAGGGCACCAAGGGGCTGGGGCAGAGTGGCAGCCCTCATCCCAAACACCCATGCCTCCCAGTCCCACAGGCCCACAGGTGGCGACCGGCTCCCACAGTGGACAGAAATAGGCCATAGAAGGTGGAACATCCTGGTCAGCAGGGTGAGCAGACTTCTATTACACAGTGGCTGAGGCTTAAAACAAGCCAGTGACAGCCAAATGCCTCAGGAGAGAGAGGAGGGGACCACAGAAAGAGGGGAACACAGGAGTCAGAATGTCTTCTGTGGGCCCCAGCTGGGGTGGGGATGGCCCACTCAGCCCTGAGTCCTAAGACATCAACAGCTATTAAAACAGCTACAAATACAAATAAATGAATGCCATCACTGATGGGTGTGCTTTAAACAACCTGATGCAGAAGCACCTAGAAAGGTTTTGAGAATTCCAGTTCTGGGGAAGTGTAAAGTGCAAGAGCTGCACACGTCCTTAATCCCCAGACAGAGACTGACTCGCAGAAGGGGACCGAGGGCTGGAATGGGCCCTCCTCATGCTGACAGGCAAAGTGCAAATGGCAATGAATATGGGCAGAGAGGGAAGAAGGGGTGGGATGACGCACAGAGGGAGGAGGCCAAAAGAAAGGCTGCCTCATTGGGTCCTCAGGACTGAGGCTGGGAAGGAATCAGATGTGAGAGATGGGGAGAGGTGCGTGTAAGCACAGGGAGCCAGGGCCCTCTGTCCGCGAGCCCTGCTCTGCACTGGACTGCTGACACCCATGTCGGCAGAACCCAGGCGCTGGGATATTAGGCAACCATTGCAAGATGCAGGGAAAAGGAGGAGGAATGAAACAGACACATGTGCATTTGCTTGTGCTAACCCAGAAAAAAAAAGAAGCTTACACAGATAACATTATAAAAGGGTTACCTGTCAGGTGGGGGACGAGAGAGATAAAGAAAGGAATGGGGACAAGATTTCTCAGGGTCAATCTTTTTTCTAACATTACAATAAATGAACAAACCACATGCATATTTTACCTTCTCAAAAAATTAAATCCAGGCTAGGTACCCATAAATCAGTGAGTAGGGGACCAGCCACATACACCAAGGCTGGCAGGTTCCAGCCCAGCCCAGGCTTGCTAAACAACAATGACAACTACAGCCAAAAACTTATTAATTATTTTACTTGGCCATATGACCCCTAAGAATTAAGACTATTTCTTGTAACTATTCCATAGTTACAAGGTGTAACCATTTGACTACATGCTGATCAAGGAAATTTAAGCAGATGTGGTGTCTGCCTCTACTGAGAAATGTCAGGGGCCCAGTGGGGTGCCCTCTACTTCTCCCTTCTCCTTCCTGTTAGCTAGAGCAGGAGGAGCCACCTGGGGTCTTAGGGTGACGTTGTAAATATGGTCTGTGGACAAAGTCACAGCTGGGAGGACTGGATTCCGGCCTGGCAAAATGATACGCCAGACTGATCACCAAGGAGAACCAAAGCTTTGTCTTGTTGAAGCCACTGTTATTCGGGGGATTCCTTCCTAACTAATGGATGCCTTGCAACAACACTTTCTCAATAAGCTCCCGTGCAGGATCGATGCTCTGCTACTGCTCTATCTACAGAACACTGGATAAGGAAGCCGGAGGCAGCACGAGTCAAAGGCAGTAAGGAACCAGCAGGTCTGGCAGAAAACACTCTTGTCGCAGACCAAGAGAAAGACTAATTCACAGGCTCAAAGCAGCCTTCCCAGACAGCTGCAGAAAGAGCATCATAAAATCACAAACCCAGTGGGGTCAAAACTGCCTTCAAACCCATGCACGCTAAAGCTCCTCCATGCTGTATGGTATGGTTGGGAAGTGCCCTACTATTTCAGAGAGACAAACAATTTCACGCAAGACTACGTGGCTGTTGTCAGAAATACAAATCTACAGCTGGAAGGAAAAGAAAGATGCTCAGAGATTTTAACAAAATGAAAGAGCAAACTAGAATTCAGCTAGTAGAGCTTCAAGTGGCTCATCTCCTGCCATCCCCAAAGCTGTGTCCTGGGTCTGGAAATTGGGCCTGGCAGCAAGGCCGTCAGATGTAACCGGGAGGGCCCCACCTGTGATCCAGGGTCTAGGGCAACAAGTGCCGCTTTTGTCTGGGAGGCTGGTACAGTTTATCATCACCAGGGTGTCAGTGTGAGGACAGCCAGTGAAAGTAAATACCATTGGCTGGCACAATCGCTTCATAAAAATAATAAAATTAAACCCCAATGGGCAAGCAGGACACAGAGGTCATTCTCGACCTGTAATCAGCAACCAGTAAAATATGCTCTCAAAGTTTTCAGAGAGACTATGTTTTACTTCAAAGCATATTTTGAATTGGCTTCACTCCACCCTGAATTAATGGGCACCAATCAATTTGGCATAAATAGGACTCCGGAATGCTTGGGAATGACCCATTAAAAGTCCTCATTTTTCAGTATCAGAGTTTGGGACAGCAAGCCTGTTTTTATTTGAACTGTTAATCACATAGTGTTCGTGTGAGTGAGGTTTTGTGTATCTAATGCAATAGTTTCCTGTTTATGCTCCTGCAGTAGCTTCCAGTCCCATATCTGCCCACTGACCAGACCACTAGAGGACATGGCCAGCGACCTGACTGGTGACCCAGCTGCAGTATGGGGCTGCCAACACCCCCAATGTGAGATGGCCCTTTTCGCCCTTCCTCACAGCTGGGGGTGGCCACCCCAAATTCCTGCCTGGGGACAGGGGCACAAGGGCTGTGTGTCTTCCAGGTCAGCCCTTCCCAGCCCTGGACACTCTCCTGAGCTCTGCGCTCTGTTCCTTCCTGGGACAGCTGGGTCATGCTTGTGCTGGCAGAACAGCCCTGACCAGACAGATGAGGAAAACATCCCAGGGGATGCCGGAGTGAGACAGAAGATGTCTGGGTCCCCAGAGGCCTGTGGCAGCTGAGCTGGCCACCCAGCCTGGACTGCTCATTTCAGAGACTGAAACAGCACCCAAGAGCCCCTCCATTGCAGGAGGGTCCAACTATCACAGCAGCATAACCCTCGGTCTGCACTAAAATCTCATCACAGACAAAAGCCTGCTCTCTATTCACCATCCTGGGAGCTGAAGAGTCACCTGAAACCCTGACACAAAAGATCCAAACGATGCATTATGACTGGTTGTCTCTATTTCCTGGGTAACCTGAGCTCGGCAATGAGTGTTCCCTGAAAGGCCTGAGAAGCACAGGGTGGAGAGCTGGCCGGGTACCTCCAGCTCTGGTGTCCACGTCAGGGACGGGAGGGCAAGGGGGCCACTGCTGGCAGGCTGAGGCAGCACAGGTCAAGTGTGGGAGGAAGAAAATGTTATATTCTGATATTTCATTAATTCTGAAAACCTTTGGCCAAAGTCCCACATATTCTTCTTCCCTCTGTTATCACTGTAATAGGGAGGCATTTAAAGCTAAAATGGTATCACTGCAGTATTACAGAGAAAATTTTTGCTGTATGCAAAGCTCAGAGGTTGGCCATGAAATAAAACAGGGGGAAAGAGAGATTACTGAGTGAGTCTGACAATAATCCTCAACTATGCAGAGTTTGGAATTAAGAGTGTAATTTTGTTTTTCGGAATCTTTCTAGTGCACAATATTCTCTCCAGTTCAGGAATAAACCTTCACAGTAACTCACAACATATAAAATACCCTTAGCTACTTTACTGCAACAAAACAAAACAAACACATTAAGAAAATATATTCAAAGAAATTTTTCTAAAAAGCCTGTTACACCCCCCAAATTCACATGTGTCATTAAATAGCGATATGGAGAGTGGTCGCATATGGAGAGCCAGAAGAAACAACTCACTTGTTCAGACAGAGATGGCCAGATGTGTTCCGGAAATCCTCCTCCGAGAGCTGCCAGTTTTTAATGGATCCTTTCACAAATCCCGAAACCATTATAAAGCCCAGGACCAGGACGTTGACACATGTGAATATTTTGTTGACCATGGCCGACTCTTTCACACCAAGAGTTAGAAGTCCTGAAAAAGTGCACAGACAGAAATTTTTGAGTGTTAACCACATACCAAGTGAGCCTCTCCTGAGATCGGGGTGGGAAGGAGACTCCAGGGGAACCCAAGTAGCATCAAAGCCCTGAAGACCCCTGTGAGTCTCTGGGAATGGGGAGGAACTCATCATCTTTCCAGGGCCAGGAATCTAAATAACCCAAGTCCAAGGGCATAGGCTCAGAGCAGGTCTTCTGGATCCCCTTGAGAATTGAGGATGTCACCCAACGGGTACTCAAGGATCACAGAGACCTACAGCATGACAGTTAACCATCCACAGAAAGCCCCTCACAGAGGCTGCAGAGAGCCTGGATCCACACACCAACCCACTCACTGCCTCGGACTAAAAGGACATTGCTGGGAAGTGACCTTCAGAAGCAAATCCAGGAGCAGACACTATGCTCAGATTCTTGGTATGATGAGAGTTTTTCAGACTCTTCATCAGGAAATTGTTCGGATTTACTTTGGGATGTTAGTGATAGCAACCTGCTGTGGTGGAGGCACGGCTAATGCATGGAGGCTGGCTGGACTCAGTGAATATAAATAACGTCTGAGCTAAACTAGCTCTAACTTGTAAACTCGTATTTAAAAAAAAAGTAATAAAAATGCACAGGAACCTCTGATGGCACTATGGTACCATTCGGGACTTCCGTGGCCACACTCTTTGCTGGACAAGAAAGCAGCACAGAAAGGGGCCAACGGTAACATTCCACCACCACCATGATACCACGATTTGAGACCGCTGCTCTGCCGTGGATGCCTTTCATATACTGTGAGGTAAAAACTGCTGTACCTGTGAGACTGAATTCTGAAGTACGGATGTTAGAAGAGAATTGGGTAATTAATCCCGGGGAGAGCACCAAGCCACGCGTCCATAGTTCTTTTTCTTTAGCACCCCTCCCTCTTGCGTTTATTAAAATAAAATCTTACTATTTCAACAAACATTTTCTGGTACGTGTTTCTGCCAACTGGATCAGAAATACGGCCCAGACCAGCCCGGGTGAGGTTATTTCAATAATGTGGTATGTAAAATAAGGCATGTCATTTTTAAAATTCATCCAAGGTTCTCTAACCCCAAATGAGAATTCATTTGCATTTCAGCCGCACATTTATGGAGCCCCATGGAGTGAATCTCCCATCCTGCTGGCCGAGGTACAGACAAGTGTCACTAACTAGAGGTTGCCATCAGCTGTGTTCAAGCAGTTATCTGGAATTTCAAATTCTGTAACCACAATTTTGTCATGAAGCTTATTTATTTAAAGGGTGTTTTGATGGTTGTTAGGTGTAAAACCATCCGAGACGCCTTTAGACGCGCCAGGCACACATTAGTGTTTCAGACAGAGCTCATTCCTCCACATTTTCCTGGCTGATGAATGACAACTTTCTTTTCCAACTGGTCATCCAGTGAGTTGAAAGAATTTTTACTCCCAAGTCACTTGTACAAAAAGCCTCCAGTCCTGACAAAACCATGTTCCATAAACAGTTACATTAGACACCTGAGGTTCTCTTTTAATTAAATGGGACACAACTCAATAGCTATCAAACAGGCCAGCTCTATGTGAAGCTATAAAGAGCCAATAAAGATGTCTGCATGAATTATAAAAACAGAACAAAAAGAAACGGTGGGGTGGGAGAAGGGAGGAAGGAAGGAAGGAAGAAAGAAGCGAGGGAGGGAGGGAAGGATTTAATAGGAGCCTTCCATAAAATTTACCCATGGGTCCAACCTGATCTCTTCTTCAGCATGTGCTTTACCTGTCAAGATGAGAATTATGATCACAGCAAATATGTCGGGGTTTTCGGCCAGCACCCCTGGGGCATTCAGAGCCATGTGTGTCCGTGAGAACTCCCCGATGGGTCTGCCTATAAGCTCATCAAACGTCGCACTCCAGGCCCTTGCCACGCTTGAAGTACCTGCCACAAAACACACACACCAGAGAGAGTTGGGGGAAACAGTTAGCAGGGTATTTGTCATTAAGCACCATGTCAGTGGCATCCGCACAGGGATGACTGTGCAGCAGCCAGACCACAGTGTACGCTGAGCCAGAAGTGAGAAGCAAGAGAAGACTTCTATGACCTACAGAGGAACGCACACACACGTGTGCTATGTGTAACAAGCATACACGCATCCAAATACAAATTATCCGGAATGATTATTAGCCTTACCATCTGAGAGGCACTTTGATAGTATTTATGTAATGCCATCTATTTTATTTCATTCAACAAAAGGCTTATGACAACTTGGCGGTTTGCAGGATCATTGTTTACAAAGCCCGTTTTCCAGGACCCCCCTTGGCAGCAGAGTTGACAATACCTGCGCCCCAATAACATGATTCTCTCAGCAAGAAGCAGGGTCCAAGGAGAGTCCTGAAGGAGGGGGATAATCTCATCTCAGGGACAGGCTCCCAGCTCATCTCTGAGTAGGCATCAGCCACACCTCTGCTGCCCTGCGCCTGAACCCAGCCTGGAGGCCACAGTGTCCCCACAGACAAAGCCCAGTCCTCCTCATTCTCCCCGAACCCTGACCCCTCAGCCTCGAGGAACAGCGGCAGCACCCGAGTGCCCACAGCAGGAGCTACTCTCTTCTCATTTAGTTCTGCAGAGGGTCACTGCCTTTCCAGCAGTGTCTCTCAGGAAGTGTCGCTAAAAGCCCTGCATTTGCATACAGCGTTTTCCGGTATTTTCAAAGTGGGCCTGGTCGGTGACCATGGTCTGAATCATGCACAGAACTTTGCCAGACTGATCTGCACAGAGATTCCATTTTGTTATTTTGTCTCATGCTAAGTGTTTTTCCAACAGCTCAAATGTAACCACATTTCTTCATCCTGACTAGCTGATTTATTATGAATTCTGAAGAACAGTCCCGCTGTCTACCCACCACCCTCCAAGTGTCCACCACCGTGAATCTGGCTCCCCAGCCCCATCCCGCTGGACAGAGGAGAGAACAGGGGTCATCTGGCCTTTCTTCATACTTCTGAATCATGCCTTTAAAAAAAAAAATAGTTTGACAAAAAACCTGCCCTTCCCCAGTAAGTTGCGAAGGCTGAGAATAAATGATCGTAATGCAGGCAGACAGTCCTGCACAAGCACAGCACTCGAGCAAAGACACTTTCGTCTGTTGGTCTAGAGGCAGCAAGCGCTTCATGCTCAATGTCTGTTTTATGCCCAGGTAAATCCTCTGGAAACATAACAGTCCATTTAAAATAGCTACATTCCCGCTGAGAGACTTCAGCTTGTGAGAACCATTTTGTGGTCATAAGTTTTGATGTTGCACTAAAAAAAAAAGTTCTTGTGTTGTATTCTAGAGCTCAGAAGGGGAAGCTATATCAGAGGCTCAGCAGACATTGCAGCTGCTGGAAAGAAAGAGAAAGTGCTATCCCAAGGCCAGCAGGGACCACGCCTCAGGGCCGCAGAAGCCAGCCAGGACCCACATGGCCCAACTGACCACTGTTTTGTTTGACAGCATTACCAAAAGGCTTGCTTAAAAAATTAAACTGAATGTTCAGTGGGCATTTGTATTTTTACTTTTGTGAAGTGGCCATTCATATCCTTTGCTTAGTCTTATAGTCACCTGTTTCAGCTGTAATCAAAACACAAAAAAGTGAAGAGGAGCAAAGCACGTCTGCCTACCGAACTGAAAAGGTTTTTTATTTTTGGTTTCCTTGCTAGATGGCTGTGTTTCTGGCTGATGCCCAGTGTTGGCACTCAGGGGTAAGGGGCCCTAGAAACCCTACTGATAGAGAAACTCTTCAACAGTTTTTATTTTTTTATTTTTTTTTTTTGGTCAAGACAAAAAATACTACTCTACTCTGTGCCCTGAGCAGAGTGCAATGGCATTGTAGCTCACTGCACCTCAGACTTGGGCTGTTGGCATCCTGCTGCCTCAGCCTCCAAAGCCGCTGAGATTACAGGCACTTGCTGTGGCACCTAGCTGGGTTTTTCCACTTTTTTCATGAATCAGGGTCTCACTCTCACTCAGACAAGCCTCAAACTCCTGAGCTCAAGAAAAAAAGAAAAAAAGAAAAAACTCCCGCCTCAGTCTCCCACAGTGCTGGGATTACAGGCATAAGCCACCTGAATCTTCAACAGTTTTTAGGGAAAAAAATCATGACTAAGCTCAAGGATAAAAAGTAATTAGCCATTTATAATAAGAAGAACACAACTAGAAACAATCTGAACATCCCATAAGGACTTTCAATAAATTATACTGTGTATATACATCTCTGCATTGGTACATAGCCATTAGGATTACTACCATAGAAAAACAACTACCAAGATGAGAGCTGTTTACTGTATGTTATCGTACGAATAGACATACTATATAAAAATACACCACTTAAATTCACAACAGTATAATAATGGTTATATCTCTAAGCAGCAAACTCTGGTGAGCAGAGACTGACTCATGCCTCCATCACCTCCCTCATGTCCTGCACAAAATCTAGCACAGAACAGGTGCTCAGTACATACTTTGTTAAAAGGACAAATAAATGAATTTAAGAGAATTTGTTTTTCTAGGTCATCAAGTTGGATATGTCTATTTTTTCTCTTTGTGCTTTTCTTTATTTCCCCTATATTTCTCTTTCAGTGAGGTATTTAGTAATCAGGAAAAGAAACTAAATACAGTAGAACCTCTGTTAGTTGACCACCTAAGGGACTGTAACAAGCTGGTCAACATAAGGAACTGGGCCTACTGTGCTGATACATACATATGGTGCAGGTCTGATCTATGAAAATTAGGTCAACTGAAGGAGGTGGTCAACTACGGAGGTTCTACTGTTTTCTTTTCTTTTCTTTTTTTTTTTTTTAGATAGAATCTCACTTGGTCACCCTCAGTAGCATGCCCTGCCGTCTTAGCTCACAGCAACCTGAAACTCTTGGGCTCAAGAGATTCTCTTGTCTCAGCCTCCCAAGTAGGTGGGACTACAGGCGCCTGCCAAAACACCCAGCTATTTTTTAGAGACAGAATCTTACTCTTGGTCAGGCTGGTCTCCAACTCATGAGCTCAGGCAATCTGCATGCCTTGGCCTCCCAAATGCTGGGATTAGAGGCATTAGCTACCACGCCCTGCCTCTACTGTATTTTTGAACGAATTAGAAACATCCTATTAGCACTGCATCTCTCATGTTAATAGGAGTAACATGCTCCTGGCCTGGCTTGGTTCCCGCACAAGAGCACAGGGCAGAGGAGACCCAGTGCTCTTGAAAGGACTAGGGACCATTACAGCATGTGGGGCAGGAGGCAGCTCCGGCAGAAAAGCCAGACTCAGCGCATGTGGGGGAAAGTGGGTTGCCCACCCACACCCTGGAGGTAGAAGCAGGCAGAAAGGGGGAGGAGGGCGTGGACCCCAGGCCTCAGGGACCTACCAATGATGTAGGAGAGGATTAAGTTCCAACCAGTGATGAAGGCCCAGAGTTCCCCCACGGTCACGTAGCTGTAGAGGTAGGCTGAGCCTGTCTTTGGGACTCGAGCGCCAAACTCGCCATAGCACAGGCCGGCCAGCACCGAGGCCAGCGCAGCAATCAGGAAAGAGATGACAATGGCAGGGCCTGCATCCTCACGGGCCACAGCTCCGGCCAAGACGTAGACGCCAGCTCCCAGCGTGCTGCCTACCCCGAGGGCCACCAGGTCAAAGGTGTTGAGGCAGCGGGACAGCCGACTCTCTTCCCGGCTGCAGTCCACCACCTTCCGCCGCAGCATCTGCTGGCCAATGCTCAGCAGAACTTTGCACCCCATCCTGCTGCCTGAACCTGTCAAGAAGGAATAGAGGGGCTGCGTCATTGCTTCTGGCTCACTCATCACCCTCGGTTTACCCATCACTAAAAAAGACAGTGGCGAGGTCCTTTACAACCATTTCCTGCTAAAATGTTTTAATTCTTCAAATTCCACCTTCACTGGTCAGAAGAAGTGACTTCTCTAGTCTTGGGTTTCACCAGCAGGGCGCTGTGCCCAGCAGACATGACTTGAGGTCTCTGAGCATCCTCACTGAGTCCAGTTCCTCTTCCTGAGAACCTTCCATGGGCAGAAATTACCCCAATGTTTCTGCTCTTGGCAATCATGTAACTTACCAGGAAAAGCAAGGTGCTGTTTCCAGCACAAAGTAACAGGGGGCAAACCAGCCCACATCTTAACTTAGTGATTAAGACTCAGAGGTCTTGAAGAGCAATGAGAAGGCTTGTTCGATCTCTCTAGGATCCTCTGAGGGTGTAACCAGCAGCAGATACGTGTTACTAACAGGAACTGAGAAGGGTGCATGGAAACTCTCTGTACCATCTTCACAAGTTTTCTACAAACCTAAAACTGTTCTAAAATAAAGAGCTTATCCAAACAATCTAAAACAGAACAACAGCACGTGAAGAGATAAGCTATCATCATGGCTTCTAGTTACTGAGGTACAAAACAAATCACTCACTTTTTCTCTGGACCACCAATTGGTATTCACTGAACTAATTTAGCTACATTTCAGTCACTGGAAAATAGAATAGTCTCAATAGAGCTCACAGGTCTAGAAAAGCCTGTTCTTAACTACGTCCTGGCATCCTCTCCCCCGGCACTGTCAGCCGCCAGGCGAGCACACTGCAGTGGGGCACGCACTTGGGCCTCTGGGCTCAGGGCCCACAGCACCGTCGTGTCGCTGGCTGGCCCCAGGTCCTTCTTGTATTTTACCTGATAGCCAAGAGAAGAGAGACAATCTCAGAACTGGTGAAATGTTAGCTAGAATGGGGAATAAACGTCATCTGATCCCATCCCTGTTACACAGAGAAGGAAAAATAACTCAGAGAGCCAAGTGTCAAAAAAGGTCACTGTGCTCGCTCTGCAGGGACAGTCGGTGACTCCTCGTCTGGGGTTCCGGCGCTCAACAGGTGGGAAGGAAATGATATCATGGTGCAGCAAGGTGGGGAGGAAGCGGGAGGAAATGAGGAGGGAGCGTCATTTGTAGAACAGCAGCAGGGCGGGAAAATCAGACACCAGAGTTCAGTGAGACAGGAAAAGGCCCCTGATGCCGACAAGAGAACAAGCTAAGACCAGCAGCTTCCTGGTCCTTCTCCACCACGAACTGGATAATTTCTGAAAGCTCGGGGCGCAGGAGCAGATGCTGAGCGGTCTTAGCCATGCCTGACGCTTTCTGGACAGTTAACAGAAGGCTTCTGGGTGGGCACCAAGGTGGTGGTGCTGGAGGAGGAGGAACCCAGGGCCTGCTGCTGCCAAGACACCAGGGCCTACAGAAGGCTCCAGCACTCGTAGTCTGCCCAGGTGGTGATTTCTCCTACAACTGCCCCTTCCTTTCCTTTCACACAGGATTGAAGCCATTTATGCAAGTCCAATTGTAAATCATAACAACTACTTGTTTTGACACAACCCTCAGCAAAAATAGTTGTGCTAGGAGATATGCAAAAATTGCTACAAAGTGACTTCTCAAAACCAATGTTTTGGTGGGGTGCAGGGGTATTTTAAGGAAACAGGAGCCTCAAAGGGGAAGAGGGTGTGAGAGGTGAGGGTGTGAGAGGTCCGCGTTGCTTGCCCTATTTTTAACTGGCTGGCAAATGTGATTAATAGACGCATACAGGGACAGTACCTGTCTGCTCCCCGCCATCCCTATGTATTTTCTGGTCGATAATGAGTGGATTCTCTCCTCAAAACACTAAAAGCCAAGTGCAAGGTAAAGTCCATGCTACTTAATAGCATTTTCTTTCTTAGGCTTCACACAGTGAAGTAACCTCAGGGCCAGCAAGTGAAAAGGAGCCCCGGGCCTTCCCTGTCCTGGGGCTTTGGGGAGGACTGCTCCACAGTCTGTGCTCCTTTCTCAGAAGCACACTGCTGTCCTAGGCAGAAGCAAAAGCACAAGAGTGACCCATCCAGGATTCTTGGGCATACATGGAGCCCAGACACGCTCTAGTGACAGAGTTCTGCGCCTCCTTAGTTAGAGCAGAAAGCAAATGTGAACCCGGGGACCTCATATGAAGACAAATGGCAAACCAGGACACGCACGCATGGATGCAAAGCAGGTGTGCATACGTGCACCTATGACATCACCAGCATGGGACTGCTCTCACATCTGGAAAACTTCCTCAAAGAACCAAGTGACTTATCCTGGGAGGACCTCAGCACCACCTTCAAAGTGAAGGGAGTGTTCAAACGTAAGGTGAAAGGGGAACTTTTCAGTGAGACAGTCACACAGGACGCAGTTCAGAACAGGTGCACAGTGGCTCCTTTGCTCCAGGAACAGCCTTAGCCTGTTCCTCCCTACCAGAGCCCAGAGAGACGTATTCTGTATCTCAACGAGGTGGTGACAGTAGAGTCTCCCACAGATTACTCCTATCTTGGTTACTTCTTAAGTATTGCTTGGTACGTGGGGACAGGGAGAACACAACTCAATCCTTTGGAAGACACTGGAACAAACATGCAGCCATCTGCTGCTAGGAAGCCTGGAGCTGCTTGTTTGAAGAACAGCAGCGTCTCATTTCCACTTCCCAGGAGAAAATGACGTACTTACCATGCCCGGGTTTATTTCAAGAAATATCCTTTCTGTCTTCTTGGAAGTCATGCAAAACTTGTTCTCCAAGTGGTATCATCTATCAGCATTTTGTACACATTATACCAGAACTTGCATTCATGCCGGGACTCCAAACCTGCTCTTTCAACCAATGGGGATGCTAAACAAAGCTTCTCTGCACAAAATTAATCTAACCATTCCAATCTCAGCAATGTCAAGTTGATACAGACTGCCTACTGTTGGGGTTTACAAAGGAAGCTGCCAGAATGCTTTAGAAGCATTATCTGGAAAGTAGGTTACCCTTTCTTCAGGGAAGAATCTATACAATGGTTGGCACCTACTTTCATTTGAGAGTTTGACGGGAATCGTGCAGCACCAAGAGTCTCAGGTCTATCCTGCTACCTAGGCATTTATTAAAAGAACGGTTACCTTAGATGGTATCCTCTTAGAAAAGCATAGAAAATCCATCCCTCTCCCGTGGAAATTCTAACACCAGGTTTTATTCTAGTAATCACTACATAAAAACAGGAGTAAAATGACCCAGCGGGTCAAATTTCAAAGATAAAGACTTTCTTATGCTCTATTTTAAAGATTCTGATGAAGGTGGGCGGGTGTGAATCGTCTGACTTTCTCATTCTCGAATGTAATCAATCACTTCATCACTGAAAAAGTCCAGCTGGATGGTTTGAGGAAGGGCAGGAAGGAGTCAAAAGCAGGCTGCTGACCTGAGTTCACCAGGCACCTAGTGGGCGCAATCTGAAATAAAACCTCTCACCCCACCAAGAGAAAGTCTGAGGCAGACATTAGTACCACGCTGAAGAATCTCCATCTTGGCTGGGATGGCAGGATTAGGGAACAGTACTAATGGGTGGGCACAGTCAAGTCATTTCAGCTTCCCTACAGCAAGAGTGTCTGGTCAACCTCAGGGCTGGCACGTGAGCGGCCATCTCAGCAGAACCTGGAGGGCTCCTGGGAGGGGGTACATGCAGCATGAACGAGGAGGGCAGATCCCCTGACTCAGTGCTCTGCAACCAGAGGTGGAAGAAAGGGTCCATAAAAAGAGCATTCTTGGATGCTGGCCACTGTGGGAGAGGCCGCATAGATGCGATGACAAGGGAAAAGCTGTGCTGAAGGAAGTGATCTCAAAGCAGGATCCACTTCCTCCCAAGTGTTAGGAGGCCCAGGTGCAAGAACTTAAAAAAAGAAAAAACTCAGAGTGCAGATGGCACTGGTTGGTAGACACTAAGGATGGAGACACGAGAAGGAGGCAGGCCTGGCTTTGTGAGAGGTGATGAGAAAATAACATAACTGGACAAGGTCTCCAGAAGGAGCAATGGAGGTCACTTAACAGGCAGCAAGAGACAAGAGACAGAAAAGGGAGCATGGGCAGAGCCTAAGACCATCAAAGGACGGGGATAACTGACCCGACACGGATTCAGTAAGCTCTCTGGTGAGCGGGTCTGTTTCTAAGTCATCAGATACTTGACAGAGAAGATGTAAAGAGAATAAATCAAAGAGCAAGTATTGAGAGCCACTGCCAATTGGAGTGGGGAGCAGGGATGAGGTAACAGGATAAACCTTAGCGAGTTTAGTACATATCAAAGGGAAAACCCTTATTTATAAAAATTCAACTCGCAAACAACATATAGAAGATACTTTTATACCTTATACAATAGAACATTCACAAACACTAAATAAAATTTAATTTAAAAATGTTCCGGATGTTAACAAGACGGCACTAAGGGAAGCAGGAGAAAACTGGGGAAAAAACCTTTCATCCAATAGTAAGAAACGTTATGAATAATGTACAGTAAAACATGACAAGATAATGGAGCCATTAAAATGCTGTTTTCCTGGACAATCAAGAAATGTTCATGACATGCTCATAGAAAATTACTATGAAGGTTTAAATTTTTGGATAAACAAAATATATATGCATTTTTAAAGGCCAGGCCAAAAGTACGTCAAAATATTAACAGCAGTAATTTTAAATTCCTATTCACTACCTTAATATTTTCAAACTCTCTAAAAATTTTTGTCTTATCTTTATAATAAAAAAAGTCCTATATAATCCTTCCTACGTCATCTGCACTGAAGGAGTCGTGTCCACCTGCAGGGAGTGTAGGCAGAGAGCACCTGACACCATACAGGGTCACCAAGGGCTACCTGGGCCCCAGGACCACAAGAAAACTGAACTGGGGAGGGTGAACCAAAGAATCAAAAGAATGGGGATGGTTCACAACCGCACGACATAAAAATATGGCCATTCACTTTCGCAGTGGGTGACAGAAAGGAGACAGTGAGTCACAGGGTCCCCGTCCTACTGTGAGGCCAGAGGTTCTGCCTGTGGGGAAAGATGGCTTCCAAACTTGGGCTCTTT